CTACTCCACGATATATCTAACTTACGGCATCTCTTGAAGGTGGACCAATCATTGAATATGCAGGATTTCGAGCTACCTTGTACGCCATGGGCGGCGCTTTCGGTGTTCATCTGATTATGGCAATCTTCTGGATGCCGGAGACAGCCTTTGCTCGCCAAACACAGGCAGCCTCGAACTTGCAGACCAAGGTGAGTTGACATCAAGCATACTCCAGCAAAGGTCAGATTTACTGACCAATCGGGAAACCACCATAGTCCTCGAAGGGCAAAGAAGGCTCGGAAGTCCACTCCACAGTTGAGGAGGTAGATGACGCCACCAAAGAATCCGGCCGCGTCGCCGGCGATATTGATCAGGCGTCGACCCGTCCCCAATCCTGGGCCAAGTCCCTCGCGCCTTACAGCGGCTACAAGAGCGAGGCTTCGTTCTGGAAACACTTGTTTCAGCCTTTCATCATGGTTGTGTCACTGCCAGTCTTCTGGGGATCGGTTCTTTTCTCCATCTGCATTTCGTGGCTTGTTGGCATCTCCATCAGTCTCTCCCAAATCTTCTCCGCGGCGCCCTACAACTTCTCCGTCACTGCGGTGGGAGCCATCAACGCCTCCTCATTCATCGCCTCTGTTTTGGGAATGGTGATTGCCGGGCCTTTGACCGACTGGCTTGGAACTAACCTGGCCAAACGGAATGGCGGTATCTACGGTATGCACCCTATGACTCGGTGATGGACGTTGCAGCTAACCAAAGGTCGGTAACAGAGCCAGAGTTCCGTCTCCCAATCATGGCGGCGTACCTTGCTTTCACTGGCGCGGGATTCTTTGCCTGGGGACAGTCGAGCTACGCCAAAGACCCATGGCCCGTCCCCGTTGTGGTATGCCTTGGTATGATCAACCTTGGCATCCAGCTGGGAGCCACCGGTGTCATCACGTACGTCGTCGACTGCCATCGTGACCACGCCAGTGAGGCGATCGGCGTCATGAACTTTATCAAGAACATGTTCGCCTTTGGGCTGGTCTTCTATCTGAATGGCTGGATCGAGACCCAGGGCGTCCGTGCTTGTTTCTTCGCCATCGGCGGCATCACCGTTGGCTGCTGCCTCACTGCCATTCCCATGTATGTGCACTCTTTTCCTTACGCATCGTTCGCAACTAATGATTATAGGTATATTTTCGGTAAACGTGCCAGAGGTTGGATTGCATCAAAGAACATCATTGGCAAGCATCAGGACATGGAATAACTCTGCTGGTTTTTGGTAATTTGATACATGGGGAGAATCGTAATCAATTCACAAGCAAGTGGTTGTTATCTATCCGAGTTATTTTGAGTCTTAAACCACATATCCCGTAACCTAATATATATTGAATCTTGGCGGAATGGATTGATAAACTGTAAAGCATCACCACGTAATCGACGTCTCGAGAACTACCGAGCCAGTAACTATGTAGAGACCAAAAATCGTGACTCGTAAAGGAAGAGGTTATCGATTTCCGGTGGGATGGGGATCGGATATTGCACTAATGAAACACCTTTCCCTCCCCCGCCTAGTCCCAGAGCCAGCAATTGACATGACCAAGCATTTCTGGGGGCTTATAAATAGCCCACTTATCCCCAGACTCGATTCACTCTCCCCAGATTTCGGTCAAAGTTTCGACTTCTCCTCCTCCTCCTCATCGTGGGCCAACTAACTTCCCCGGCGATTATGCCGGCGTTTTTCTGCACAGAACAGAACTGCGGGCTCGCCTTCCGACGGCGAGAGCATCTCATACGTCACGAGCGCAGACACACCAATTCGAAGCCCTTTTCCTGTAATCAGTGCAGCCGCTCGTTCTCACGGAGGTTGGTCGCAGAAGTTCGCCCAGGCCGGATGGCGGTCTGGCCCTGCTAATTCCCCTCGGCAGCGACGTTCTGAAGCGACACATTCTGCACCACGAGAAATCCACGCCTTCGAGTCGCGCCGCGAGCGCTTGTGACTTCTGCCACCGTCGGAAAGTCAAATGCGACGGCCAGGAGGAATGCGCCAGGTGTCGAGAGGCCAACCTTGTCTGTCGTCGGACTCGTCGCCGGGTGCCCGATAGCGATCTCTTTCCGCGCGAGTCGCTGCCCACAGATACAGAAATCAGTATCCGTTGCTCGAATTTAGATACCAACGATCGAGCGGTTGCGTCGTTGTTGGATACCTCCCACCACAGTCCACGAAACCGAAGTGAAAGCACCGATGATGCACGGAGCAACTTGAGTCTGCCGCAGCCTGAACAACAGCCGAGAGAAAACCCAGGGCAGGACGTAACAGACCCTGCAGAGAATCATAGGATGGAGCCAGATACTGCTAGCGAGAACCATGCTGGTAGCACATCTGGCATCTCGGACCTGCTGTCCATTGATGGGTTTGGCTCTAGTCTTCAAGAAAGAAGTTTCTTGGGGCTGCATAAGCTCTCTCCTCCTACCACCCGTGAAACTCGCCCCGTGGATGATTTCTCCCGGAGAGTAAATCTAGAGAATACCAGCCCAGTACATCCATCTTCAGAGAGAAGGCCTGAAGTTGACAGGGAAAGTGAACGAGATGAGGCCAACTATTCCGAGCCTTCGTCCGGACAAGTGATACATGATCTAGAAACCACCAACTTCCAACAAGAACGGAGTATAGGTCCACAGCACACCACAGGTGGACGTCATGCTTCCGCCCAAGCATCAAATGAGGTACACAACAGCCCGAATAATGATGCCCTGGCACTCCTTGGCCTCAGCCAATCAAGCACCCCTCATGGACCTAATGTCTTCCAGTCCTGGGAGGAATCCCTTCAGGCTAGCCTCGCACAATCTCCAAACACAAATCCCTCAGCCTCGGGGCGTCGTCGACAGTCACAAGCGTCATATGACATGGCAGAATTAACAACACTCCATCACAAGAGTAGGACTCAACTTGACTCAGATTCACTTAGAGGCGAGACAGCCTGGGAGAGCATGTCTGTAGGCACCCCAGGGAGCCATTCTGCTGCCAGTTTTCCGATACCTGTCGAGCTAAGTCATGCCTCTGCTGCAATGTTAGACAAGAGAATGATTGATAGGTACTTTTCGAGTTTCCACAACCACTGGCCAATACTTCACAAAGCTAGTTTCAGCCAGTCCCAATGCACCTCCGGGCTTCAACATGCGGTTGGATTGATAGGCTCTCTTCTGGAAGGCGATCCTGACTTGCGAGCCCCTTCAATACGACTGCACAAGTGGTTGTCGCAACGGGTGCTGCTACAGGCCATAGAGGTTAGTCTTCTTGTCACACCTGCGATGATATGGCCCCTAACCGTATAACCATTAGCGGCCGAGCGACACCGAACACCTTGAGACCCTCCAAGCGCTTCTGCTGAACATTTTGTTTGGTTGGTATATTGGAGTGCGTTGAATCAAAATCCGACGTTTGGGCCATCTAATACTAAATCATCCATGCAGGAGACAGAACTCATAAGAAAGGCTTGCATGGCCCTGCCAACTCTGATCATGTGTACCAGAGAAGCTGGATATTTCCGCGTGGAGGGAGTTGTGGCTCAGGACGAGAAGTCTGCCAGCCACGTCAGCCGATGGCTAATCCGTGAACAAAAGAAGAGGTAAATTTGCAGCCCATAACTACTGTACATGAAATGCTAACCTGCTTTATCTTAGATTGGCGTATGCAGTCTTTCGCCTCGACTGCTATTTGCACCTGCTCCGCGACTATCCGCCGTCAATACGCGTACCCGAGTTGTGTCTGCACTACCCCTGCTCCGAAGCGGCATGGAATGCCACCACTGTTGGGGAATGGGAACTGGCGCTGGCCCGGGAGCCTCTGGGCAGAATGGATAAGACCTATTCCTTGACGTGCATGCAGGCACTGTCGGATACGATCCGGCCGAACTTGGCCTTTCTCCTCCCCGAAGACTTTGAGACCGGGGTATGCGCCATGCAGTCCCGGCTGTGGGAGGAGGTGCAGCATGAGCACGAAACGACCCTCTACTCCGTCTCTCCCTCGTTCGACATGCGACAGGCCAGCCTGGGCATCGCTGGATACGGGCTCAGCTGGCAGGTTCAGTTGGATATGTGGCGCTCAACCATGAACCACTTGACCGGACGCAATGTCGGCTTCTGTGAAAAGAGCACCGAAACCTGGTTCTACTTTACTGCCAAAATGCAGTATCATATGTCCTTCCTCCGCATGTATGCAGACCTCACGCTCATTCAACGGCTGATCGACGGTCTGAGCACAAACAACTACAGCCCATCCTTGATCCGCCGCTTCGAAGCCCGGATACAACTCTGGACCAAATCGTCCAACGCTAAACAAGCTCTGTGGCATGCGGTGCAGACCCTCCAGATATTCAAAGAAAACGCCATGGGCATCAAGGCCTCACGCTCTCTCGTCTGCCCATCGACAGTGACGTGCCTCTTCCGCGCCGCCCAAGTCGTCTGGGCCATCTGCCGCTCGGTGTTGAGCTGCGACCTCTGCGAATCCTCATCTGCGCAGCACGACAACACGTGGCATACTCACCGGGGCGTTAAAGCCGTCTACGACCTGATGGAGCTGCAAAACGATGGGGAGCTCGGGTTCTGGAATGACAATCGTGCCAAGGCGTCCATCGGGAACATCCCTTTCTGCGCGTGCCACATGCCTGCGATACTTGATTTATACATTGAGTCGTTGCAAATGAGCACGCTCGGTTGGAGTTCTGTGACTCCTGTTACGGATGCGCTTGTTGCTCTAAAACTACAGCAGTGATAGTCCGTCTCCAAGAAAAAGACACATCTATGCTACCATTTTGAAGCCCTAAGATGATTCTGACTCTCTCTGCTGTATTTGATCGTAAGCCTCACTTGTAGCTTTAAACTCTAGACAGTATTGTCATCCATGTCAATTATAAGGATTTCAGAAAATGTATTGGCGGTCAAATTGATATTACTAGTCTTCCAAATATTTCCGCACGTTACCGACCACCAACAAGAAACCATGCCGTGGAATGATGCAAGTGGATGCCCTTCCATCAAGCCTGGTCATCGAAAAAATCTCGAGCATCTTCAAAGGCCCTTTGAATCGCCGCCGTCAACCCTGTGGCGAGGTGGGAAAACGCCGTGTTGTGTGGACCTAAATCCGTTTCATGAAGCCTCACACGGTTCCCTTCCACATTGGACATTTCTTGTGCAAAGGCTCGAATAGTGTCACAGAAACCTTCAGCCTTCCCACTATGAATAAAAAAAGGAACGGTGGTTCGAAACGGATGGTGTAAAGGGGAAACATAAGGAACAGCCTCCTTAGATGGCCCATTTTCCGGAAGGTACGCATCTGCTCCCCATTGAAGTATTTCCGGTGCCAAGATATCTGCATGCGCGTTCGCCTCTTGCAGATAATCTTGCCCAGCTGCCTTTGTCACGTGTGTCCAGGGAGACCAAAGCATCGCACCAGCAGGCAGTGAGAGCACTGCTGTTTGCTCCAAGTACCGAACCAAGCCTATCGTGAGATTGCCTGCCGCGGAGTCACCGGAGACGAGAATATTGCAAGGCCTGTACCCCAAGGATAAAATGTAGTTGTAGAATGTGACTAGATCCTGAAGCGCGGCGGGAAATCGCGTACTGGGATCCTCTGCAACACGATATTGAGCAAGGAAGAGCCGGCTCGCTTTGAGATCTTTCAGTGCAAAAGGGCTGAACATCCGGCCGTTCAAATCACTACCACAAGCTATAACAAATGCTCCTCCCGGGAAATGAAGAACAACCTTCTCGTCTTTGAGGTCCGCAGAAGGCGGCGGGGGTCCAGGGTACCAAAGGCCCCCGACCTCGGCAGGTTTGATGACCGGGGTTGCTTCCAAGATATCAGTGTAGAGAGTTGCATCACCGGTCTGGGCTTTGGCAAAACGGTCCTTCGCCTTGGATTGACTAGCTTCCACAGCGCTTTTCTCGTTGGAACGAGTCTGCGCTTGAAACAGGATATATTCGCGGACTAGCCTGGCGAAGAGAGTGATCCGGAAGGTGAGAGTCCGGAGCGGGCGGAATGTTGGAAAAAGGAATCTAGGGGAGAGCACCAGAAGCACTGGGATCTTAATCAAGAGAGCGAAGGCAATATAGGCCGCCTTAAATGGCTGTTTTGACCAAATCGGGGCCATCTTACAGCTGATAGAAGACCTAGACAAGATCTTTGGCGTGGTGGGCGACATAAATAACTGTGATGGGATCAATTCATAATATATCAGGGTGGATATTCAGGATCGGAGGCTTTTCAGAAGGCCGGTTCCGTCTTGGAACCCCCCGTTCAGATTGGACAGGTGCCTACACCAAGAATGATGAGACTATTGACGTGCTGTAATATCGTGTAGCAAGCTTGAATAATTCTCCAGCATGATTACTTCAGAAATTCTATGGGCCTTTAGGTGCCGGTCTGGGACGGACCAGGGAATGCCCCTTGACCAGGATCTGCTCCTCACGCTCTTACTCATGTCCATATAGATATGATGTACAATTTTTAGCAACTACTTGAGTTGATACGCCAGAAGGGGGCGGCTGGATAATCTCTCTCCTCCGGCGATGTAATCGATCACTGAATCATTGATGTGGTGATTTCATGATGAGGGAAATTAGAGCCGTTGAGGGGTGGGGTTTGCCCAAGGCTTTGTTCTACGTGTCGCGTTTGTTGTTGCGGAGAAATTTCTTTTGCGGAACTTTTGGAGCCCGGCAGCTAAAATAGGAGTCCCCATAGAGCTTGCTACTTGAGCTGCTTTTGCATGTGCATCAATGCTCCGGGCTTGTACGGAGAGCATACCTTCCCGGCTACGTCGACTCAGAATCTGTGTGCATTCGGCATGATGATATCCCCTACATGACATCGCAGTCACGTGTCTTGAGATCCGAGAACGCCGTTTCAGATCGCTCAGGCCAACCGTACTGTTCATTTTTCGCCCCTCATCAGACCCTCCCGCCGGATAGTGGCAGCTACGAGCTGCAAACCCTTCGTTGTGGGTAATAAGAGATGACTGGAGTTCCGAAGTCGCGTGCTTGTGCGCCATGCAAAGCACGGAGAACAAAGGTTTGTTTTCTGGCCGGCATTCCAACCCATCCCACAGCAACTAACTTCTCCCTGGTCCGCTTCATGGTGTAGTGTGATCAAAAATGGCCTACTTGTTCCCAGTGCTTTAGGAAGAGACAAAAGTGTCCTGGACCTTCTTCATTACTCAAGTTTATCAACATCAATACTAGCCAGCAACCTCGGCGTCGCCAAACTACACAGCCCAGGTCGGCTTTACTATCACCTACTGACCTGGTGGCCGGTCGCTTGGTGCATCATATCGATGGCGCCAAGGAGCGGATGGTCATCCACATTGAACCCTTCAAATACTTGCCGGCGCGTCTGGGGGATAGTGCTTGTCTCCTTGATGCTTCCGCACTGCTCTGCAACGTCTGGGATATATACCGGCGTAATGAGAAGAAGGTTCCCTTGTCCCATATACCGGCTTACGGGAAAGCAATCCACAGCTTGGCTCGTACTCTAGAAAGTGACAACGCTTACACAGTTGACACACTGGCAGCTGTTACAGTCATACAACAGGCAGAACTCTACTTTGATCACGGAAATTCACGGCTTCAACACGAAAAAGGCTTCGTGGCTCTGCTCTCTGGAATCGGACCTCCTAAACCCGGGGATAAGCTTCATGCTCGTCTTGGTATGGCGGCGTATGTTCTCCTAGTAAGTGCGGTTCTTGAGCCTTTTACTCATAGTATAATTGTCCATCACGGTTATCTGCAATTATGGGGTTATATGGTGCTCTTCGTTTCACGCAATGCAGAAGCCACGTCTCTCGATCTTGTGCTGACTTCTTTCACTTAGCTACCACATTGGATCGCCTTGGGTGGTGGGACTAACGTCTTCGATACTCCCGAATGGATCAGTGCCTTCGCAGGCTCTGTGGCAGATTATCTCAACGCCGAAAACCTAAAGCCTTTCCTAGAGGATGGGTTTGTGTTTTACAACACCTTGTGTGCGCGTCTACCGCAAATTCTTCAGGCCACCAAAGCCGCTAGTGCATTTCGCCTCGGGCTTACCACGCCAAGACCATACGATGTCACCAGACTTCTCCAAGGACTCGCTGATAAGTCAGAGCAAGCATGTTCTGAATTTCTTGGAAAAATGAAAGAAAATGGTCTCCTGAAAGAGGAGGAGGATCCGGAGTCTCCATTTGGGTTGAAATATTGGGTCCCAACTCCCTTCTCCTCCCAGTTTCTCCTCGGCCTACTCACCGCTCGCTTGATAATCCTTCTCGCGAATCTCAAGTGGAATGCAATTCACGGGAATAGCGAAGAGGCAGCCGCTTTGTTTGCTACCCTGAGGACAGCGTGCTTCACAATCTGGAGGTTCATCCCATTTCTTCGGGACCATGACTTGCTCACTGTGCCACTCCCCTGGCAATCAATAAGCTCGACCTTTGCATTCGCCAATACACGAGAGAAGGACTACATGCTTGGTGTATTTGAAGAACTAGACCTATTCCAGAGAACAGATAACGATAGAAGAAAGGTTCCGAGAAGCCGAGCCTCGATAGAGAAAGAAATCAATCAGCACGCTGGATTTATGTCCATGCAACAATCGCCGAGTATTCCGCAGGAGACTTAATCCCACGACTGGCTAGATGGGTTCCAATCAGAGCTAGGTCCAAGGTGTCCGGTGACGATATTCATCCGTTCAGGTCATTCCCGGGGTGCCCGTCAAATATTTTGATGGGGCAGACACTTTGTTAGTTGATACCTCCATGAATCTACGAGTTTGACATTACATACATTTCTTTCTAGTTGAGTATAAAAACCCAAATGGTAGGAAGTTTATGAAACTGAAAAAACAATGATTAACAGACGCCTATAGCGGCACATCTCACCACAGATACATATAGACATAGACACGCCTAAAGACCTGTGTTCATGATATATTATCACGACGTCTATCTCAAAATATTGGCCAAGTTCAGTTGATTTTACTACCATATGAGAGAAAACGAGGGCCTCGTCCTGCTTTTTTGCCTTGTGGTTTTCCGTTCCAATATTCCTCGTTTATACTCGGCTATGTCCAAAACATGGGAACAGTCTCCAAACAGCACATCGACAAATGACGATTTGTTTTCTCATTGGGGGTTCCAAGCCTGGCAGTTGGTTTCTCGGGCTTCCTAGAAAAATTGGTCATTCTCGGTCGTCTCGGCAATCCGGTAGAGTAAGATTTGGGGGTGACTGCTTGGTTTTCCCGATAACCCGCTCATGAAGATTACATCATTGGTAAATCATTGCGGTTTCTAAGCCCTGTCTGGGGATCGATTTTGATGGCTTGCATAATCAATCGAGTCTATTGATAGGTACATGTAAGGTGAGTGAACACTCATCGAGTAGAGGCACAGACCCCTAATCGAGGTAAAGTATCGGCGGTTGGCTTAGCCCGAATGGCGAACGGAGAACGGACTTATTAGAACAGGCCAGCTTCGGTTTTTAAAGCCGCTTACTAAGTCAAATTTGCGCGGCGAAGCCATCACAATGCAGGGATCTGTCGGTGTTGGCCCAGTTCATCATGCCATGTTTCCCCACTCACTCAGGGAGCATCAGGCTCATTGAGGAGCACACCTCTGTCATTGGGCTGGATCTTCAAATGCGCACCCGTATAAATTAGCCTGCTTGCTTTCTCGGCGCCCAGATCGGACATGTCCCGGGGAGCGAGCCGCCCGGGACCCTGCCAGACCCGAAAGTGCGAGAGGCCCTGATCCTCCTTGACGTTGAATTCAGGGTACAGTGAGAAGGGCATGGATATATATATCATGCGTAGTGCCACCCTAGAAGTAATGATGCCACCCTATTTCGTTACATACCCTCTCCCCCGTAATACAGCTCTTCTTTCGAAACGTTCCCTACCCTTGTTTTCCTTCTCGGCCGTCTCAATATGGGTATCTTCGCACCGAGGGCTTCCACGAGGGAGCCTTTGCTCTCGAATTATTGGACATCGAAGCTGCCCAAATTCGGTATTCCCATCATCATGAGCGGAATACTTATTCAGCTTTTATTTCTAGGCAATATGTCATATCTATACGGCTCGCTTTTCAAATCAGGATCACGCGTACATGCACTCCGAGTCCTCGCGGTTGACTATGACGGCCACGATATTGGTCACGCTCTCGATACGGCCTATAGCTCCTTACGAGCCAACTCTTTTCCTTCCGTGGAATTTCGTTCAGCATCACAGTATCCGACGGTGGAGTCGATTGAGGAAGCGATGTGCACGGAAGGGTACTGGGCGGCCATTTACACACATAACGGCGCCTCGGACCGACTCATGAACGCTCTCTCCGGCGAGAACTCGACTGCATACGACCCCAAGGACGCAATATCGTATACCTACTACTCATCATACTACCCCATTGTTTCCATGTCGTTGGTTGTGTCCAACATGGAGACATTGGTATCAGTCGCGTCACGAACGTTATATTCAGTATCTACCGAGGCACTGTCAACGGTCAACTTCACAAGCCCCTCGAGCGCCGCAGCCTTTCTCGACCCGATCCGATCCTCCTCGATCGTCAAGTCGCCAACGAATCAAGGATCAAGGGTCCTTCTCAACACGGTCACGATGGTGATGGGGGCCCTGATGCAGTTCTTCTTCCTGATGGCCATGAATAACATTTCGGGGCAGGCCGGAGTTTTCAACAAGATGTCCAAACGAGACGTCTACATCTCCCGCCTCATCCTCAGCAAGTTCCACACGTTCATTTGCGCACTCTGCAGTGTCGGGTATATCTGGGCGTTCCGAGAAGACTGGTTTGTGACCAGTGGCCATTTTGGAAAGACATGGATGGCATTCTGGCTATACATGGAGATCCAATATACTGTTATGGACACGTTGCTGGAGATCGTCATACCCATGCAGTTCTGGTCCTTCTTCGTGTTGACGTGGGTCATCACGAACATAACGAGCACGGTTTACCCCTTCGAGTTGACGGCTGGGTTCTATCGCGTCGGCTACGCTTTGCCAGCTCACAATCTTTGGATACTGTTGATGGATATCTGGTCGAACGGATGCAAGCAGCAGCGCAATGTTGTCCTGCCAGTCCTCCTATGTTGGTGGCTCTTGGGCCACATTGGCAGCGCTTGGTCAGTCTGGAAGAGATGCTCTCGGGCTGAGGCCAATGCCGCTGTACTAGAGAAAAATGCGGACGATACGGATATGTCGCGAAGCGTGCTTCAGACACCCCCTGAATAGTCGGGGCTTGGATTGTTTACTATAGACCAGGGTAATGGTATTCTTATAGGGATAGATTTGGTATTGGGACTTGGATGAAGCATTTAGACTTGCGATATTGGTGGTTAATGTTTTTCTTTGTCAGGTCCGTATGTGTTTGTGTGCGCCGGATTTTGGCGATAGATATTATTTATACCTGGCTTCCTGAACTCATTTCTGTTTTTCTTTCTATCATATCCCACGACATTAGATGTACAATAAATCAACAGTGTCACCTTGACGGCTACTAGAAGAATTCAAATGCGAATAACTCCCTAGAAAACTAGTACCTTCCAAGCATGCCCGTTTAGTTGAAGTGCTTTCGTTAGAAGGCCCCTTACACTGGCAAATGACTGAAAATTGTTCTGATTTTTTTCACATACTAAAAACCAATACTCCAGCCGGTATGTAAAGTTACTCTGCAATCTAACTAGAGCGTCTAAAAGTTCTGACCAAAGTCCCCATAGCGAGTTCGAGGGTTCTATGGTTTGTTTTATTCCTCAACGAAGGGCACATGAAGTCTACATTGTAAGTTTCTGTTATTCTGACGCCCACTTGCCTTCTACCTTCCATCCAGCACTATGCATTCCTGGAACGGGCCTACTTACTGACGGGTTTTAATAAGACTCTGAAAATCCTCGAAATTGTCCATATTCTTATCATGTGTAATCAGTCTAGAGAACTTCCATGGGTGGTCAATATTAGGTGTTCCGTTTCGAGCATTTTGCCGCAGTGATAGCTAGAGCTCTTTGTGATGAATGAATGAATGCTTTGATCGATCTTCTTCTAAACCGCCTACAGTCAAAACATTCTTCTTGGTCCTCTTGGTAAGATTCACGTATCCCCACTCGTCTGCAGTGGATCGTACACGCTATGTCGCTCGCTGGTCATCTTTATATATCCCTGAAGTCTCAACCCCGCTTCAGTTTCTGATTTCCAACACATTCATCACGCCAGCACTCGTGATCACAATCTTTGAACTGTCATCATCGCCACCACAATTTGATCATGGCGCAATTGGATATGGCAGATTTAGTCGCGGGACGCAACTACAACTCGACCAGAGCTATCGGTGATGTCCTTATTGGCGAGGATATCGCCCGCCCTATTATTGAAGCAATGTCGTCTGGCAATGGCATGGCCTTGCAGAGCTTACTGTTGCAGCCACAATGGATCAAGATAATGCTCGAAAAGCAGTACGCCATCACCTCCGAGGATCGTCCAAGCGAAGGTCCGGATGATGTGCGGGAGGTGATGATCAGTCGAATTTCGAACCTGGAAAGGGCCTTTACAATAGCAGCTCGAAATGGACAAGCTGCGATGATACCCATATTACTTACCTTTGCAACAGAGCAAGGCATCGGCACTTCTTCTCTCATAACGAGATCATTGGTATACAGGGTTATTTTGCACAGGCATGCCGCTGTTTTCAAAGCACTGGCAGCCGCCGACCCAGATATCATCCACAACCAGGCCGGTCACGGTACGTTTCCAATTTACGAGGCCGTAAGGGTACGGGCTCCCGACTTGGTCGCTTTGCTGCTCGAGCTTGGGGCAGATCCATTGCGTCCTATTCAGCCGTCCAAAAGACTTGGGACCTACAACTCGTCCCTATTGTCTCGCGGTGCAATGGCTGACGGACCACGTATCACTGAGATGTTGTTGAAACATGGTGTCCCAATCCCTCAAACTAGCGCACTACATGCCGCTGCACGTTTTGGACAGCTCGATACTATGCGCGTCCTAGTTGAGCATGGCGCGGATGTGAACGAGGTCGATCTGAATTGGAGCAATTGGACGCCGATGCATTTTGCCGCCTCAAAAGGCCAAGTTGATGCCATAAAGCTACTCGAGGATGTTGAGGCACTCTCTGACTTGAAGGATGCGAATGGGAAGACTCCCGCGCAACTACTGGAGGAGTTCAATACCGCTTAGAATTAGCACACACCCACAGCTGGCATATTGCTGAGCGTTGGGCTAAGTAATTTGTAGAAGAGCATTTAGATATAGCTAAGAGAACAACTAAGATGGATGTATGATGAAAGTAGTCAATGTAGTCCAAAGTAGCTAACATGCTGAAGACTGTAGGTTCGGTGACGAACAGTCAAACCAGCTATCAGCAGCAAACATCCAGATAACATCGTTCAAAATCGTCCGAAGTGGCATAATGCTTCGATACCAAGCTGGGGCAATTTAGACTCTGAGATCCTTCTCCTGTTTGCCTGCCCCGACCAATTCGACCTTTGCGTTATCACCTTCCATCACAACTGCGATTTCTTCCAGGGAAACTCCCTTTGTCTCTGGATAAATAAGCCAAATAACAAAAGTCTCCGCGGCCAAGAGTACAACATAGACAATATAATAACGCCACTGAATGCTGTCCAGTCCAATGGGGTTCACGAACTGATTAAACCCACCACCACCCTTGTTCGTGAGCTGCATGATTGCCACGCCCTTCGCTCGCTGAATGAAAGGAAACACTTCAGACACATACAAGTACTGGCAGGGCATCATCAGATTATAGAAGAGGTAGTAGATAAAGATGAGCGCCACAACGGCAATTGCAGCAGAGTGGTTAGTGTTGTCCCCCGCATAGACGGCCGAAGCGGCCGTCCAGCACGAGAAAACAATGGTCATGCATCCGTAGCCGACCAAGATCTGCGTGCGCCTGTTCAGATACCGCGTGCCAAAGCTGGCTGCGGACATGCCAGTGACTAGGTTCCAGCAGTTCAAGCCGAGGTTGATCTGATTCTGCGTCCGGCGGTCCTTGATGCCGATCGTCGCAAGGACCTTGGCGAGATAGAAGCTCACAAGTCCATTCCCAGCCCACTGAGAGAAAAGGCCTACACAGGCTGCGACAGCCACGCGGCGAATGTTGACGGGAGTGCTGAAGAGATCTCGCCAGGGTTTTGTAGATGCCTCCTTTTCCTGGCGAAGGGTTTCACGGATCTGGTGAAATTCTGCTGCCACAAAGACTGAATCCCGGTCACCTTCTCCATGATATTTGATGAGAATTTCAAGGGCTTCGTCTGCTCTATCGCGCGATATGAGCCAGCGTGGGGATTCGGGAACGAACCTCAATTAAGATTAGCTGGTGCTTCATCAAACAAAGAGTCTCACAAAAGCATCTTTCTACTCACCAGATAAAGGACAATTGAAACAAAGACGGGAGTATCTGGAGGATTGTAGGCAAGCGCCAGCTCCAGTGTGTGGACCAGCTATATGTCCCGAGTGTAGCCCCCGCGGCGATAATCGAACCAACATACCAAAAGACCTGAAAGATACCAGTGATGGCGGCGCGCTCTTTCGGGTAGCATAACTCAGTCAACAGCTGGGCGGCCCCAGACAAGGCAATAGGCATTCCGAAGCCCATTATGACTCGAGACGCAATGAGCATACCCAAATTAGCAGCCAATGTCTGAATTATCACCCCTACGGTGACAACAAGAGATCCTAGTATTACGCTAGTCTTACGACCCCAACGATCGTTGACATAAGGCAGAACTGGGACACTGGCAATTGACCCGATGGAAAGACCAGCGGATATTAAGCCGAGAGTTGCGCTCGCGGGGTAGCCAAAGTGGGATTGCCATTTGTCCACTGCTTGGAGCCCGTTCAGAACGCTACCATCATAGCCTGTATGATGTCAATGGTCAGCTGGTGTCATATCACACTGCAAAAGCGGTTGTCTCCTCTCACCAGTGGTCATCTCGACTCCCAACGCAGCGGGAACTAAGCAAAGATACAAGCTTTTTAAATTCTTCTTCTGATACCATGGGACCTTGTCTTGTTCGAGCAACCGGTCGACTTCAGATGTAGCGGATATGTCTTTGATGTTGACATCGTTTTGCGCTGTTCCTTTTCGCATTTTCAAATATGATTCAGTATGTTTACTTAAGTTCTATGACACTTCTCTCACTATGGAGAAACCTGTGAGATCATGAGCGGTTATATATATATCCATGGTTATAACGAAGCCTCATACCACCCGTCGGATCCAAGCCGGCTAATATCAGATGCTCGTAATTGGTCCAATAAACCATCCATCCCGAAGGATTATTCGATTCATACCACATCTCGAGCCTAGACACGACGACACATGATCAGCCGTGAAGTCTTCTGCACGGGTGAGGAGTAGTAGCACCGTCAACAAACATATGATGATCGGAGACTTCCTAAGCATCTCACTGGTGCAGTATTTGGTTGCGGGGTTTTCGGCAACAAGGAATTGTCTCCTCTCAGTTGACCCTCGGGGGCTATTCATCCGAATTCAATCATATAGCCTAAATTTTAGATGACTGATATGAACAGCTGGGCATACATTCTCGGTAGGGATAAGCAGGTTGGACCTATCTATGTGTGAGATAGCTACAAAGGTCTCAGTCAGAGGTGGTGAGCAGGGAAGAATACCATTTAACTAAAGGCGCACTTGATGATGAGAAATATTTCTGGGATTTCTATGGATGAAGTTATACCGTTAACCTGATTAGCATGTTGGCAGTAAGAATAACTTGAACGGTGCTTGGATCTCTTGCACTACTAGGCAAAACAACACTTACACAAAAACGGTAAGATTAGAGGAACATCTGAATTCAATTTAAAGGAGACAATCCGTGTCTTTCAAGAAACATACAACTTGCACCAGTATTTGATGCATGAATACGTAACCGCCTCAATACAATAGAAAACCGTCTAGCAGTGCAGGGTAGGCTACCAAACTGGCTGGCAGTATGCTTCAATTCACAAATCTAATGTACTTAGTTTCACTTCAATGGCTAAGACTGAGCGAAACTCTCTATCTTCAAGGTAACGTGCGAAACCTAGACTAACAGCGAGATGATTTAAACGCATTTCTTCTTCTTTTTCTCTTGGGTATGACATTTTGTGGGAAAGGCAAATTGCCAGCAACAGAAAGCATTGAATGATTCCACACATAGGTACGCAGAGTATCTCACATTTCTATTACATCTATCGTCGCATAGCATCTATTAAATTATACACATACTAAATCGAACCAACGATCAAGAGTCTAGCGTTGGGATACCCATAGAGTTTGCATCATGTTTACTACAATGGCGCCGTTCCCGTTCGCGAGCAAAAGGCGTCGACGCAGATGCAAAGATTCAGAGTACCTGATAGGCAGAGTGCAGGTGCAGCCCGGCAATCATCGTCCATGGTGCAGCTAACGGGGACGGTGGATGTAGTAGTAGCAGCAGGCGCAGAGCTGGAAGTTGAAGTGGCAAGAGTCGACGTCGAAGTCATTGGAACACAGACAAGGTTCAGGCACCCGCAGCGAACATTGTCACACACCTGGTTCACGTTCAAGCAATCCGAATCCGCCGTGCAGGGGAACAGATCGGCGGGAACGAAAGTGGAAGTAGACGAGGCCGGGAGAAGAGATGATGCGGGTATGTCGCTTGGCGTAATGATTGGTGTCGAAGTAATCAGCATAGAGGAAGAGCTGCTGGAAGGGGTGCTTGTGGAAACATCGCTGGTGGAAACATCGCTGGAGCTGGGGGATGCACTTGATGATACAGAAGTAGAGTCTGAAGGCGTTGGGGTTGTGCTGTCAACGGGCGTCGAGCTCAAAGTGCTTGGCAGCTCGCTCGAGGAACTGATAGGTGTGGAATCAGATGACGATGGGGTCAAGGAAGAAGGAGTGGATGACTCGGGAGTAGAAGACGTCCCAGGCGTAGTTGGAGTCTCGGTTCTCGAGGTAGTGATAGTAAAGAACGACGAGGGAGATGATGGCGACGAAGGCGAAGGGCTCAACGCGGTCGAGCTCCCAGTCCAGCTCGCCGGCGTGGTGGAGCCGCCCAGCGACGAGGTTCTGCACTTTCTCTTGGCCTCAGTAGTGTGTGATGAGAGAAGGGCAAGGACGCCAACAAGCAGAAATGATGATACCATCGTGACTGGCAAATTACTGGACTGATACTAAAGAGTGACGGGTGCAACAGGCGAGACAATGAGTGAATAATGCAAGGTTGAAAAGAGAGACAAGTCTCGAGAAGAAAGGACCCGTTTGCCCCTTTGTAATTTTTGTTGTTTTCACTAAACCAAACCACCGCTCTGAACGGAGCTAATGGCAGAAACCATTCCTCAAGTCTCCGCTGATCCTAATCAGACGCTGGGACTAGCCAACTTAAGCGGGCGTTGAGCCCAAACGCGCAAATTGAAGCGCCGTTAGTAACCAATCTGGGTCTTCCAAGGGAGCGACGGTGGAGAGGTAAGCAGCTAGCGTCACGTTGGCATGAAGCTACCGCGGACTTGGGCACTGATTCATCGATCGCCTGCGTCATTGAAGTCCGTTGGGAAGATTTGCTATAGAAAACAAGGGGCAGATCGATGGACCAGCACGTGTCGGGAGAGTGGGGGAAGTCGATGTCTTGACGCGCGTCTATAATGCTTAGGCGTCTACAAGAGAAAGACGTTAATATGCGACAGGCTAGTATGGACATGACAGCACCCACTTCACGTTCGGAGAAAACCTCCCGGCAAGTTGATTTCTTAACTAGGCTGGATTTATAAAGACAGAACAAGTTGACGGGATGCGGGTCGGGTTGTTACTATGTTTCCATACTTGTGTACCCATTCCCACAAGAACGGGAGATTGAGCTAGATGTAATGAAAGTCATGGCTTGAAGCCTGTAATAAACGCGTTTCTCTATGGCAGAAGGCAGTGAACAGCCACAAGTACCCCTGATAATCATGGATTGGGAAACGGTTGTTTATTTTTAGTCTCTAGATATAGAAGCTATCTAGGGAAAGGCGCTATTGTCTGGTGTGAGAATTTGGCCGGGTGAATAACTGCGATCAATGAAATTGTTGAAATATGGACTGTCGTATTATTCGTCTGACTACCTACCGTGTGTTAGGTACCTAGTTCAAGTCCCGTGGGCGATATCGCATATCCAGTAGCTGGGATCATATCTCGATGAACTAATTTTCCGGGCAAAGTACAGAGTAAAGAGACTGTAATAATTACAAGAAAAATCTACGCGACACGATTCTCAACCAGTATTTGATATTTAAAGAGGAAGTATGATGAGTCTTAGGTAAGAACTTGCCTCATGCTTCATGACGGGCCCTTTGCATTTCAACGGCTTCCACGTTAGTCCGTAGCCCCGAATAAACTACAAGACTCTGATTGGCCTTGCTGCCCTCGGCTGTATCCAGATGGCCCGGGAGAGAATGCGAGGTCAAAGTGACACCAATGCCACACCTTTGTGCATCTTTGTGATAATATTATACTACGCACATACTATGTAAGTAGGTAGGTAGAAAAGAAAAGAGTGATATTGCTCACCATTGTCTCACCCGTTTCAACGTGGCGCAAAACCCCTGGAGTACGGGAAGTGGCTGCTTAGGGAGCGAGAGCCGTCACACCAACGGTTCCGAGGCCCGCTCTATGGGAGGGAATTCTGGTCAACGGAGTCCTTTTCCTAACCAGTTAGCACGGAGCCCTTGCCATCATGGAGCTGGAATTCCAGGGGCCATCGATCGGCGCTCATTTCCTATCGGCAAGTTCCAGGACGGCCAAGTAAAGCTCTAGATGGCGATATATGATCTGTCTGATTTCAAGCAAGAACAGAGACAAATGTGGAGGTGTTTGAGGCAAGGGGGGCCTTTAAGGTGGCATTGCCATCTTTTAGCATCTCAACTAACAATGCATAAGCGTATTGCGAACGGGCATTTTACACGCACGGGCCTGCCTTTGTTCATCCATCCAATACAATGACACCAATAGATCATCAAGTGTAGCAAGGATCACACGCAGCCAAGACCGTTTGCAGACGTTGGCGTGGCGCAGACATTGGACAATTTCCTTAGCTCAGGCTGCCTGTGACATCTCCGTCAAGTGCATGCGTTAGTCTTCTCTGCAAGGAGGAGGAAACAAGCACGAAAGGTTTACTGCTTTGGGTAAGACTGAACGCCTTAGGCCCGGATCCCGTAGAAATATTCCCGCACAAGGACGATGCACACAAACATCCGCCGGGGAACGAGGATCGTGATGTCGAGGGGCCCTTGCTCGCATCTCACTTAGCCTGGGTGAAGATGCCCCGGGGCCTACTAAATGACGTCTTGGGGGTCTGCTCCGGACTGGTGAGACGGCCGGTCACTGAGCTAGCCATTGGATTGCCAACGGGAGGAGTTCCGTTCCACTTGACCACTGGGGTTAACCCCCTTGGTGCCACCGCGGGAACATTAGCACTGAGATCTGCACGGCTTGTTCTTTTCTGAGCCTGGCTGCTTTCCTGAGGTAAAATCTCGTTATGTTGGTAACTTTCGGGATAAGCCCTTGCCCACTGGTGTCCCCTTTTGGTGTGATGGCCGCTCTTGGGATCAATCTCGCTTAGAACCCTAGGGCAAATCACCAGCTTCTGGAGGGTTGCTTTGACCACCAAGTGGCTTGGCTGTCCCGTCGGTTGGTCTGCCACCCAAAAAAGCAACTTGAGCCTCTGTAAATGTTAGTAGATGGCATATGGGCAAGGGGAGGGACAATCGTGATCAGGATCAATAGATCTATGCAAGTGCCTCCCTGTGCTGGAAAGTTGAAACACACCCATGATCCCGCTCGAACCTCCTCCGTTCGCCTTGACCTCCAAACAACTGGAATTCCCCCCCTTTCCTAGCTCCAGGATTTATCCGTTCCGACACCCCTACTCCTTGCATGGCTAAAATAGTTTCCCGCTAGCTTCCCTAGCTGAAGAGCTACACTGCACCTCTTTTGCCGATGCTCCACTGGCAGCAAGGGGGCAGCAAAAGAAAGCACATCAAGAAGCAAATGTGACAGGGTCGAGATAGGGCTGCAGTGTTCAAAAATGCGTCCTCGTCTCAATCTCGAGGCCGATGAGGGGCCCTGAGCGTGCTGGGCGAACTGGTTCTCCATCTTCCCACCCACGCGGTTCCATCAGCAGTTCGCGAACTCTGGCCGCTCGTGCAGGGTCATCATTCATGCATCATGTCGCCAGATGAGCTGCTCCAAAAGTATGAGGGCCAAACGGTCCATCAGCAGTTCAACGCTGGTTTCGTTGTGCTCAGCTACATTGTCAGTCTCATCGGGGCAGGGTCGACACTGGAACTGATCAACCGCCGCACTGGATTCAAGGGTCTCTTTAATAAGTTAGTGATGGTCATCATTCCATGGATATCGGATTCTCATCGGGCCTGTGTTCGCTAACCACGATTCTGGCATCAATCAGTGTAATTCTCGCCAGCGCTGCTGTGACGATGGGAGGCGTCTCCATCTGGTCAATGCACTTTGTCGGCAACAGAGCCATTGTACTGGGCGATAACGAGCCTGAGATCCAGATCGCCTACTCTACGGTCTTTACAGTCATTTCCTTCTTTGTCCCTATTCTCGTGTTGCTCCTCACATTCATCGCTATCGGCAATAGCATCTCCTGGGTTCGTATATCGCTCGGTGGCTTCCTCTGTGGTTCTGCTGTCTGCGGCATGCATTATCTCGGCAATGCCTCGATCGAGAACTACACCTGCACCTACAAAATAGGCTATGTCATTGGTGCCGTGTTGATTGCCCTGACTGCGAGTACCACCGCCCTCTCCATCTTCTTCATCTTTCGCTCCATGTGGGCCAACGCTTGGTGGAAGCGGCTCTTATCTGCCCTGCTGCTCGCTGGCGCCGTGTCTGGCATGCACTGGTGTGCTGCTCTTGGGACAGAGTATACTCTGGTGTCTGTTCAGGAAGGGGCTGGTGACCATGTGCAAAATTCAACGATTATTATCATCGTCATCATCTGTTTGGTTTGTATTCTCTACTATCCCCGATAACGCACACTGATGGAAAGCTGACTGGTTATTATAGGCGATTGCCGCTTGTCTGACCATTGCTGGGCTGGTGATTTATACTACGAGGAAGATGAATCAATCGGCCCAGCAAGCACAGAAAATCTCGCTGGGTGCTGCCGTATTTGACAAGGAAGGTCGAATCCTGGTTGATAGTGATGGCCTTCTTCCCAGCACCATTATCACCGATTCCTTTGTTCAAGTGGTAAGTAGTTATGCATTCTTTCAAATAACAAAATTCGTCTCTAATCAATTAAAAAAAATAGGAGGACCAGCAGCCATTTACTGTCGCCCACCCTTACTTCCTCTGGATGTTTCAGGCAACCAGGAACCTGTCTGGTCTCTCTGGTCTCATCAACGGAATGAAGAGGCATATCGCCCAAAATACCCACAAACAAACCGAGAAATCGCCTGCAGCTGACGACCAAGGCCTTCTTATCCGAGGCCAGTTCTGCCTTGCTTCTGTGCGACTCGCCGATCGCCTTCGCCAGGAATATTCATCTGCTGGAGTTTTATGGGACGAGATCTTGGTCACCGGCACTGCCCGTCGCTCTACCGATTCCTCCAGGGCCAACTTACAGAACTTATATGAGAAGTACGCCACCTTGCACCTGCAGTCCGGACAGGGATCGCTCATGTTCCTCGTCCATCACGTCCAAAATGAGCGTGAATATACACAGCTTACCATGGCCGGCTACCGTTTTGCCGAGATAGACCATGTAAGCGATATCATTGCATCCAATATGCAGATCAAGTCGATGGGATTCAGAGCTAAGTTGCGTCAGATGGCCCAATACGCCGACCATCAGGAGAGAAGCACCGGCGTCCAGATGGGTTTCTTCGGGATCCGGCCCAACACCTCGGGATTCGATGTCTATGTTAAGAGACTTGCACGATATTCACTCCCCTCAGTCACCCTTCCGCTTCCCAAGCTGGAATCATGGCATATGGCGACCCTGAAGCAATTCCATGGGATGACGGTGGGGGCTATTTCCGAGACCCTTGAGGACATTAGGATGCCAACCGAGAGGGAGACTGAATTTATTGAGCTTTTCAGAACGGGGGTTAAGGGCCTCCAACAACTACTCCACGACCCTCTTTTCGAGGATGCTGTTCTTGTCCCAGGAGTAGTTGACCTGCCTAAGCGGGGATCATCCGGGTTTTCATCCTCCAGTACAATGCTGACGTTCCGAATCGTGGCGTCGGCCCAGTCCGTTGCCAGCAACACAGACTACGAATATATTCCTTTGAGTCTTTTCAATGTATACCAACTAATCAAGACACCGGAAGGACAACTATCGTTCGTCCACGGTGTCGACACTGAGTTTGAGTCTATCATCAAAACCCAGCGCTCTCGAGACCACCACGAAGGTGACGACAACTACTCTCATATGAGAAAGCAGAGCTGTATTAGCTCCCAAGAATGGGACGAGGAAGAAGGGATAGAAGGAAAATCTATCGGTCGGCCATCGACGCTCTCCTCCACCCGGTCTGGTTCGACCGCAGATCTCTACCATCCCCCGAGGCGTGGCAGCAGGCATTCCAAGAAGCAGCATGTGAATGTACGGGAGCTAGACGCCCCTGTTGAAGAAAACTCGGACATCGAATTACAGGCCAATGGCCCTGACAGAGTAGCCACGCCCACGCCGTCAGGGGGCCATGGCGGCTATGACACGTATATTGACCAACTACTCCGGGACGCATTGGAGGGCTTAGAGTGGAAGAGTTAGTGTATCTGTGGCTGCTTATGGTCCTATTTAGTAATATAATGTCGTTGTATGTCTGCCTACAATTTATCATCTCACAGTCATTGACGTAATAACTGTCCTCCAACGTCGAAGGGGGATGCGTTTGTACCCAAAGATATCGTGATCAGTAAAAAGAAGTATCTTCTTTTCGCCTATGTGACACGGACCGAGCTTACGGCAACGGCACGTGGACAACGCTGCAGGCTATTACAGTAATTGGCTAAGTTGATTCTCGGCGCTCTGACAACGGGAGCTTAGTGAAAATACGATCAAGAAAGGGTTAGCGAATGTATGGCTGACATGCTCTTTTAGTTCTTGGGGGTCGAATTACATATTTTGTACGAAAACCCAGTAATCAAGACATATACACGCTGTTGCTAGTATTTCGACTATATCCAGTCCAAGCCTCGATTGCTTTGATCCTATCTAGGGCTTGAGACTGACGATACCGATGACAATCTGATTGGTTTATAGACTCCTCTTTTTTTCGTCCCAGCCTACATGTATTCCGTAGGATGTCCTGGCAGATCGCAAGACTAGTGAACAGAGCCACTATTCGGGATATAAGGGCAAGTCTTCATCCTATGGATGACCGGGATCACGGCAGGAATGAGTCCGCCTTGGTTAGTATTGCATCCACAACAATTTCCGATTGCATAGCTCGAAGCCGTTCTTTCAAGTCTGTTCGTAACATCAACGATCCTGCGTTCCAAGCCCCCGAATGACTCATAACATCCCTCCTTTTTTATTCGGTTATCATTTGGAAACCAGCGTTCTACGATCTGAGGATCTTGCTGGCAGAACGGAATCACAATGAAGTGATTCCATGAATCCAAGGCTTCGCGTAGAGAGCGAAGTATGATTAGCGATAGCTCCCTTGTATGCTGGCGGACTTCTCGAACAAATAAGTGAGCTCTAACTACAGGATCGTCCAGCAACAAGCTGATAGGCGCGGACATATTTTCGGTTGACAATTTACAGATCAAGTCGTTTGCCACTTTCTTCGCTTTTTCGGGGTCCCTATTAATTGTTAATGACACAGTTTTCATTGTGTAACTGGAAAGACAAAGAGGAGGAAATCTCACCATGTGGCCGCGAATGCGACGACTTTCAGAACATCAATACATGTGTTGAGCTGCCCCTCGGTGTCTGCGAAGAGTTTGGCAAGGGGCCTGAACCCACGGCGGTGACGCCAAATAAGGTCTTGCCTAGCCAAAACCACGCAGGATTGGTGAGATTTGTGAACCAAGTTTGCGGCCTCGAGCCATATTTCCTTTCCAAATCTCCGACGGGGAGATTCCTGCAATACAGACTTTATCTCGGAGAGTGGCACGGAGACATTCATGAAACTGTTGAGCTCACTCCAGCGGATGAGCTCTATAAGGTCGCCAAGGCAATCCAATACACTTTCTGGGCCCAAACAATGAGCGCGGTCCATCGGAGGCGCCATCCAAGAGGCTTTTGACAACTGGGATAAAGACATCATTTTGATTTGAATGGAGAAGATTTTTGGATAGGGTTCTGCCGGAATATAGCTGCGCCGCTGTTTTCGGTGTGAAATCTGCGCCGTAAGAGCATGGCATTTTGAAAAGGCCATGGATTTATATAGGCAAGGAAATGAGGCTTATTTATTTACTGTCCCTTGCAGTTACTTGGCCATTATAAAGATAACATTAAAAAAAGGGTCGATTTGCCCATCATTCAGTTTTAAAACTTCAATCAATGGTCGGAAACAAAGATCGGTCTAGTCATCTAAGAAAGAAACAAAGCAAGGATCCATAGCCACCTTGCGGTAATTGGTACTAAACGCCATTTCTTTCTGAAAGTCTGTCAACTAGAAAAAGCACTTTTAGAAAAACAAGCTGAAAAGCCAACCAGCAATAGTTCTCGACAGTGCCGATGACTATATCCCACTACGCAAGGCAGACACTGCCTACTCTTTGCTATAATTTGTGAGGCCATCTACGGTCTGTATGGTAACTCAATACAATCTTCCTACTACTGTCGTTTTAGTGTTGATTAAAAACGTTGAACAAAGCACTGCCCTAGCCCAAGGTTTCAATTCTGTAGCAAATGAGATTTGCTATCGACCCCGTCTTGTTATTTGATCTGTTGCTCCATAACAGAACTATAAACTCCTTAAATTGACTGTGCCTGTTCTTCTTTCCCGCCACTACTCGACGGGATGTACAATATGATAGAGCCCTGCTAGAATAGCCAACTCTCGTTCTCGTTGGGATAAAATAAAACCCCATATCCGCGTTAGAAACGGCCATTGTCAATGGTACCTGGGAGGCATGATGAAAACAAAAAGTGGAATCCCCCATATATCTGTTCAGGGGTCACGAATTCCCTCGGTCATGTTGCCGATCTTTTTATAGCGAGGATAAGTCCGGTTGAACAGCCTCCAGCCGTGAATGGAAATTGCTTAATGAATGCTCCCATATTACCTGACATGATCGCAACCTCTAAATGTACTTTTTCTTTGTATCAAAGATTCCAGTAGGCAAAGTGTAAAGTCCTAGATGCGCTATGGTATGGACCCTTCAGGCACAGTCTAATACCACCTGCCGTTTAGGCGTGCTCTTCGGGGTTGCGTGATTGCCAAGATGTGAAGACCTTGTCTTATCATGTTACAATGCAACGTCAACAGGTTGCGAGAGGATGGCGTAATAAGGTGGATAAATTTTGTCTTTTAATTCATTTGTGCATATTAAGGTTGTGATAACACCTCTAGCTCATAGGTCTCGCAATTTAGGTTGTTAAAGGTTTAGATATCGCAACTTTGGCATAATCAAGGGCCCTCATGCTACTTCAACATGCAACTTTTAAGATCTTTGTGTGTACTCACCGAGGTTTTGTTTGTCTCTTCCTTATTCACCTCGAATTCTACAGCTCCAAGCTACCGTCAAGACCTTCTGGATTTGCATCGGAAGCTTGTCGAGATCTCGTCGAACTCTGGGCTTGAGGAAGAGGCGGGTAAGTATCTGCACAACTACCTCTCAGACAAAGGATGGGCTGTCAAAGACATACCTGTGGATCCAAGATCCAACACTCCCGAGAACGCCACGCGTTTCAACATTCTCGCGGGAGCCAAGGGCAGTGACACCCTTGGAGCTAAGGTGTTGTTGAACACCCACTTCGATACTGTTCCACCGCACATTGGTTACTCAATCGAGGAGGGTGAGATCACTAAGGATACCCAGATCAGCGGTCGAGGTAGTGTTGATGCCAAGGCCAGCCTAGCAGCCATGGTTATCGCGGTAGATGAGCTCGTCCAGGCCGGGGAAGTCTCCCCTGAAGACGTCGGGCTCGCGTTTGTGGTCGGCGAAGAGGTGGGAGGGGAAGGGATCAAAGCTCTTGGCCAGTACTGGACAGAAAACACTCCGTCCTTTAACGCCATCATCTTCGGTGAGCCGACGGAGGGAAAACTTGCATGCGGCCACAAAGGAGGCATGACCTGCACACTGAATGCATATGGAGTGGCAGGTCATAGTGGATATCCGGAGCTTGGTCGGTCAGCCACCGCTATTCTCATCAAAGCACTCAGCAAAATCCTCGAGGCAAATCTAGGCAGCAGCGATCTCTTTGGTAACACAACGGTGAATGTCGGACAGTTGGAGGGTATTGCTGTGAACAATGTGATTGCGGACCACGCACTAGCTGGCTTTGGAGTTCGTGTCGCGGTAGGCCCTCAAGCGGAGGGTGCAACAGTCGTCAGGGAGAAAATACAGGGTATTTTGGACGAGGTTGATCCGGAAAGCTTCCTCCTCAGTTGCAACCAGGGATATGGTCCTGTTGAGACAGACTGCGATGTTGCGGGTGAGTGGATGACGTCCCCGAAGCCAGGAATTTGCTAATAACAGATCTACGAATATAGGTTTCGAGACTGATGTAATGAACTACGGTACGGACATTCCGAAACTTGAATTAGACCGCGAATTCAAGAAATATCTATACGGCCCAGGAACTATTTTTGTCGCTCACTCTGTAAATGAGAATGTGACTGTGGGTGCTCTAGAGGAAGCCGTTGAATCCTACAAGAGGCTTGTTCTCAATGCTCTTGACAGTTAAATACTGAACAAGGAAACTTAATACACTCAATTTGAAGGTGAACGTGCGCTATTTGATAGTAATTGGTCACCAATATATTAGCCAACAAGGTGATGCTTCCATCAACGCATCTCTAGGATCAAGGGATCACTCTGCAATTTCCCGTAAGACATGGCCAGCCATTGTAGGGTCAACAGCAAGCTTGCTACTTGCAATTTTATAATTTAATCCAAATAATTCTATCTCAATAATTAAAGGCGCCTAAAGGGTTCCAGAATTGGTTCGAGGCTTCAATGAACACACCGTCTTCGGGGCGCCCTACATCAGCAACTGTCCATTTTTTCTTTCCTTTTTTTTTCAAATATATGTGTCATAATTTTTGTTTGCTGCTTAAATATGTTAGTATTTTCCTTTTGTGACTAAATTCACTCCACAAGTTTGTTTACAAAAGGCGGTCTTGAATCCAATGTCAACACAAGGCGCAACCATCCCCACATTATTGACTACTTTTCGGTCCGGAGTTCTCCAGATCCTGTCAAGATAAAAGATGAGATGCCATACATATATGAAGTAACATTTCGAGTTGAATATTTGTATACTCAGGTACGTCTTTGCTTTCTACTCGTACTATAGACCGACAGCTGCGATCATGTCCCATATCAGGGTATTGCCGGACATCAAACATGATTTCTCCGAAGAGGAAGGGGGCATACCGGGATCCTTCCAGTTGTCAAACCAAGGTGATAAGATCGAACCTCTGGAATCTGGGCTCCTAGCGTGGTCCCAGGTTCTTGCCGGCGCTCTAGGAAACTGCATGGCTTGGGGAAACCCAGCTACGTTCGGGGTCTACCAACTCTATTACCAAGAAACCCTTGGTCTACCCTCTTCGCAAATCAGTTGGATAGGCAGCGTCCAGACATTCCTCACCTTTCTTCTGTGCGCCATAGCTGGAAGACTAGCGGATGCTGGATATGCCAGGACGACTGTGTGCGTCGGCACCGCCCTCTCCCTTCTCGGAATCTTCATGACGAGCTTGGCAACTAATTATTGGCAAATCTTTCTCGCTCAGGGAGTCTGTGCCGGGATAGGCCAAGGCCTACTTTTCATGCCGTGCGTGAGCGTTATCAGCTCCTACTTCTTCCAGAAGCGGCCATTCGCATTGGCTCTGGCGGCAACGGGGAGTGGGTTCGGAAGCGTGATTTTCCCTGCCATTGTGCAATATGTGACGCCAATGCTTGGCTTCGCTTGGGCGGTGCGGTGTCACGGATTCGTTGCTCTTCTTGTGGCGGGGACTGAATGCATCATCCTCCGCCCACGGTTGGCAGGACGGAAGTCGGGTGCTCTGTTTGAGTGGAATGCTTTCAAGGAACCTACCTACTTTCTTTTCTCAATCGGAACCTTCCTGTTTTTCTGGGCGCTATATTATGGATATTTCTATGTAAGTGACAAATCTCATTTGACTCCTCATGTGCGAGTGTATGCCGTTTCTAATTAATGAAAAAGATCAACAGCTATGCTCGAAACCTCATCGGCTTTGATACCACATCATCTGTGCAGCTGCTCCTCATCACCAATGCGGTTGGCATTCCTGCGAGACCCATCGCTGGCCTCATATCCAACAAGTTCGTGGGGCCTATTAACACGTACATTGTGTCCATGCTGGTTCTCAGCGGCATGATTTTTGCCTGGATTGGGGTGCATGATCGCGTAGGCATGTACGTGTTCTCCGTCTTCTTCGGTGTCGCTGCTGCTGCTGCCCAGTGTGTCTTTATTGGGGCGCTTGCAAGTCTCACAGACGATCCGACGAAGATGGGTGCGAGGTCCGGCATTGTGTATCTTTTATCCGCCTTTGCGGTTATGGCTGGACCTCCTACAGCGGGCGCGATTGTTGACCAAACGGGTGGGAGCCATCTCTGGGCTCAGGTTTGGGGGGGCTTGGTGACCCTGCTGGGAGCCGTTGCCGTTGCCGGTGCGCGTTTATGCAAGACCGGGCTCGTACTGAAGGCCAGAATCTAATAAAGTATAGAAACCATAGAGCAATACGGATAATTAGATATAGACAAAAATGTTGAGTAAAATAAACGGTTCCAGAGACGATCATATAAGTTTCAAAGTCTCGGTCTTCCAACCTTTGAATCGTGTGAGAGGGTACCCAGACAAAGACAGCAATCCTACCCTTCGGTATACATTCTCCTCCGTCTGCTTTTCTAGTATGATGCAATGCCCCCCTTCTCTTTGATCTTCTTCTGTGGGGCTGGCCTTGCTCAGCAAAAGAACAGTATAGCTCTTCGACTCAATATCGTCCAGCCCCGCTACTGTTGCCTCGAGCATGTCACGATATTCAGCATTAATCCCCTCCACAAAAAATGACTGCTCTCCTGTTTCGGCATCTACCACTTCACATATATGCCTCATTGTCAGTCCGTGGGAGTCTCCTTGAAATATTGGCTCATCCCATTGGGCCGACCCAAAGTCTGTCGTTGATTCAAGCTCTGTCTGGCTGATCGTCCCCAGAGTACGCCAGAGCTCCATTGTAAGGCCACGGACAATAATATAACCAGACCTCACAGCGCCGTAGGGGTTATTTTCATTGGCTAACTGGACGTCCGATTCTACAAGGGTAAGATTTTCGTCATCCTCGAAAGAATCGGGGTTAGTAAAATTGACCAAGTCGTTAGTCGTGGCCCACGACCATGATGGGGCCTGATAAGTCAACGCATGTTTCGCCCATGTCATTTCTTTCTGCCATGAGAGGCCTCTTCTGATGTCTTTACTCCATATACCGGCGAGGTACGTCCCACCAATAGCGGTGTGCATCTTCTGAGCAAGTCCAGAGAAAGCCGGCAACTTGTCCACCCAGTACGATAGCTTTCTCTTCGTATATTGATTGACCAGTTCATAGAACTCATCCATGAGCATCCTTTTGTTTAGGGGAACTATCGTTGATGAATCACCATCCCTTGCAAGGTCTGAGTACAAAACAGAAGATAGCGCCGGATAGAACTCGTTTTCGGGGAACAAATTGCCCGGAAGGGCACCATCTGCAGATTGAAAGCCACGGGAACACTTCCAGTAGATCTTAGAGACACCATAGTGAAGTATTCTCGGAGATAGCACAGACTCCTGCAGACACCAGCCGCGCATGCATAATGGTGAGTAAATATAGAGCCAACGAAGATCTTCAACCTTGGATTTGTCTCCTTGACTGAACACTGCGACTGAAACAGTAGTCCGATTGTCGCTAGATAGGCATATATCAACAGCTGGTGGACCTGGGTTTTCCACCTCTATGGGAGTCTGGAAGATACCATGGCTGCTGACAGGTGATGACGTTGCTGATATCGTCACAAACGCATTGCGATAAAGGTCGGCCATTTTTGTGGACTCAACAGCCCAATCATCGCGATCATCTTGAACAATGCACAAGGAATCAATCCAGAGGTACCTGAGTCCGAGACTTCGGGTAATTATAACAGCATCTTGAAAATTTGCCTTGAGATCGTCCCAATCTATGCCGGTCTGGAACTCAGCTAGTGTTTTCTTGAGTAGGACATTTTCAATAGGGCCACCCCAGCAATGGCTCAATGCTACATATCGCGAAATGAACCCGGTTTTAGGAATCAGTAGGCTACAGTTCGCATCTTCGACTGTCCCTACATCAAGAACACGTGTTGGAAAGCTTGTGGGATCTGGTGAAGGGCAGCCTCGATGATGATGTGCGCACGTATCGATCCAATTCTTTGCTATAGCGACATTGGAGTCCGATCCAAGGTCTACATCTGTTTTGAAGCGTCCAATATCATATCTTCCAAGTTTCAATGGGCGATCTGTGAAACGGGATGTCAATAGTCGATAAAATATACGAGTGGGTGTCACATGGGACAAATCGGTAGACTCACCTAGAGGTGTCAACAACTGCAAGAACACTGTTGGCGGTTCTTGGAGATAGCTCTCATCAGGGTCTGAACTTGTCTCCTGATATTCACCAGCTGAGATCTGGAGCAGGTCCAGCATTTGAGCTTCCTCTAATGGTGTGGCAGTGTATATGTGGTTCGCCTGGATAGAAATTCGGATAGACGAAGTTTCTACCCACTCCTTAATGGCGCTAAGCAGATCACTGTCCTCTCTAGCATAATACCGGTGATCATCTGTTCTAGAAGTTTTGAAGGCGTGTATCATAAGTACGCAAAGGTCGCAACCCTCATCAGCTGATTTTTCCAGCTCGTGAATTGATGGATAGTGCTGATAGAAGGAAATCTTGGGGACGTACCACCCCGAAAATTCAACTTCGGCATGATCAATCAATTTTTGAATGTTGAGGCCCAGGCAATAGGTGCATCGCATCTTGCGCGGTGCTGTCCGGTTTTCAAGGTTCTAAGCTCCAAGCGGGGTTTCTCGTCCGTGCTCCCTCCTTAACTCCTGAGCCTGGGATGGTATCATTATGTCAGCCACTAGAAGAGGTCAGGGCCCACTCTGAAACTGCTAGGTGCATTGATTTCTCAGCCAGAAACCACACATTGACACGGACCATGCCCAAGCAGCACTGTCAAGGGCCCTCTTCTCAGGATACTGGCCTACCCTATACCCGAGGCTCACTCCTTTGAACCCGGATCGGGGATCCGAGTCAAAAGGGCAGCCATCTTCCTTTGCTAGTAGGTGAGATGGGTGTTAAACCCACTCACATTCCGCCTTGACGAAGTCAATAACGATATCAATTGATGATGAGCCAGCACAAACCAATGCAGATACCTCTGGTACATGGCTTATGCCTCTCCTTAGCAAAGCTCACCGACCTTCATATCGATAACGCAATGGGAATTAAGAATTCAAAGCTCGGAAACGCTCCCGGAGGCAGGTGACCGGCAAAGTCGACGATGGCAGCACGTAATAATTAGGAAATAGGAACAGGGGAGCCGGAGAGATCTTTGACTGTTTGAGCGTGTGACCTTTGAAAATCGGGGCCGGATCTCAGCCTTTTGTCGACATGATTAACCGGCTCTTAACCGAAACCACGCAATTCTGACCAACTCTAATTGACCGCCCACTAAATTCCGAAAAACTGGCACCGGCGAAGGTCGCGTGGGCACGCAGGAAATTCGATTATGGATGTGGATTTTGGTTTTTCATTCAAGGCGGTTGACGAGAGCACGGCACCGGTGCTTAGGAGAACTCGCGGGATCCCAGAATGACATCGTCGCCGGCACGGGACAACGCTGACAGAGGCGCTTTAACTAACCCCCACCTCCCCGGAGTTTCCGCATCGGCACCTCATGCGTCTGAAGTCTTCTTATCTGACAATGGAGACGGCGGACTCTCTGGCTCCCTGCCGTTGTCGCAGCAGCAGCCGCAGCAGGAGAAGGAAGAGCAGGACCATCACCATACCGAGCAGCATCACCAGCAACAAGGTGCTTCCGTGATGGCGCCGCCCAAGATCGGCAACCGCTTTTCCTCCGAGGCACTCAAGATCCTCAGAACCTGGTTTGCAGGCCATGAACATGACCCTTATCCGACCAATGACGAGATCGAAAAGCTCCAGAGCCAAACCGGACTCAACCAGCGTCAAGTGACCAACTGGTTCGCCAACGCGAGGCGGAGATCCAAGTTCTACCACTCGCGCCCGTCGTCGCCATTTCTCCGCGATGGCGACGACCACCACAGCTCTTCGTCTGCCGGCCAGACCCCCGTTGATACTCCAAAGAGACGGGCTGCAACCCCAGCACCCTTTGAACACATGAACCCACTTCAGCGGTGGGAGAACTCACCCCCCGAGCATGAGCCCGCGACCGCCCATGCTATCTCCCGCGCCATGGCCGCCCTCACTGAGCAGCCCAGAGGTCGAAGCAGTCGGACGCGCCGGACGAATAGCAGCAGTGCCGTGTCGGCGAGCTCGTCCGTGTCCAGCCGCGGCTCAGGGTCATGCAGCTCCGCGCACTCGTACAACTCGCTGGCGTCTCTCGAGCGTGTTTTCAAGCGCCATGGACGGCGGAAGAGGAAACTTGCGAGCAATCGGCTCGAAGTGGGGGCTCAGACGACGCTGATCCAGGCAGAAAACATGTATCAGTGCACGTTTTGCACCGAGACGTTCAAGACCAAGTATGACTGGCAGAGGCATGAGAAGTCATTGCACCTGTCGCTCGAGAATTGGGTTTGTTCGCCGGAAGGCCCCACTGCGAATCGGCAAGACGATGGTAGGCTCGTGTGCGTATTCTGTGGTGCTGAAAATCCAGACCTGGCGCACTTGAACGGACACAACCAGAGCGCTTGCTTGGAACGACCCTTAGCAGAGAGGACGTTTCATCGTAAGGACCACCTTCAACAGCATCTCAAATTGGTGCATCATTCAGCATTCATGAAGTGGCCGATGGACCAATGGAAGGTCGTAGGTCGAGAGATTGGATCGCGATGTGGTTTTTGCGGCATCTTGCTCAGCACTTGGGCAGAGCGTGTCGATCACCTCGGCGACCACTTCAAAAGGGGGAAGACAATGGCAGATTGGAAGGGAGACTGGGGATTTAGTACCGACGTACTCAATAGAATTGATAACGCGATGCCTCCTTGTAAGTTGTATTGTTCCATCCCATTCACTTCCTCTTTAGCTGACCGAACTTCGTCCATGCTAGACCTTATTCATTATGAGAGAAACTCCCCGCTGCCTTTCGCTGCCACGAAAGGGCCCGCTGATACCCCAACCAGCGGTTATGAGCTCATCAAGCTGGAAATAGAGTATTATATGCGGAATCATTTCAACGTGAATGGCCGGCTGCCCGAAGACTCGGAAATCCAGTTCGAGGGGTGTTCAGTTATTCTCGGCGCTGAAGCCATATCGTCAACGCCTGCCTCATCTGCACCCTCATGGTTTAGCGACATCTTCATGTCGTCCACTGAGATTGCCAATCGAGCTAGACTTCGACCTACTAAGGAGCTTTCCGAGTCGAGATTGAGCCGCCTCCAAGTCAATGGCAAGGGCAACATCTTCGAGAACTGCGAGCTTGAGTCGTCTCTAAGACAGTTCATGGAAGTGCAGGCTTTTCTTGGACACACCGTCACGGACTCCGAATTACAGCAGGAGGCATGCAATACCTTGCACCGGATAGAGGAATCTTCGCCGAATGTCTCGGAAAGATTTGTCGAGTTCATGATCAGATTGATCTGGGCCTCTACAGGATGGCTGATCCCTTTGCGTCAGCGCAGTCCCGAAAGTTTGACCAACATGCCGTACGAAGGTCTGTCGATTAGCGGTAATATACAACCAGCGTCGATGGACGACTTGATTCCATTTTCATATGATCTTCCATGGGACCAGCATCCCACTCTCACCGGGTCCGGCGTCGACTTCCTGCCATTAGATGGCAATGAGATGGCCGTGGAAACCCCGGATGATCATGGCTTCATCACTGATCCTGCCAAACTTCCACCTTCTATCCGTAATGGAGAGAATCGGAATGCAAGATCACTGGGGTTTAATCCTGGGCTCGCCACAAATCTTTCTGGCTTTGCAGAGGACCCGGTATCGCCGGTAATTTTTCAACGCCCTACACCCCGCTTCGACCAAGACAATAGGAGGATTCGATCCGGAACCCCCTTTTTCCTCAACGATAATAACAGCTACAGACGACTCAAACGGGAGCTGTCGAGGTTCGTCCTGACCACCATGTCACGAAACAACCCCAATAGCCATATTCCAACCGACGATGAACTCAAATATCAAGCAAGATGGATTCTCTACGACGAGTAAGTTTCCGGTGCACATCTACCTCCTGCCGCCATTTGTACCTTTTCTGTTATATTTTCTTTTACTTGATTTTTTCTCCATCCTGTTTCGAGCATACCAGAGCTAACATCTTTCAAAAATCAGTGATGACCCCTGGAATCAAACCCCCGTTGATAACGCGGAATGGCTGATGGAGTTTAAGAGGGATGTTGGGTTGATATCAAGCGCGGATAGAGATATGACACGCCTACCAACAGCAGTCCCAGAAATAGTCATAAGGGAACTAGAATGAGGGTTCTAATGGAAACTTCATACTTACTTCACAATCAGGGATAATCGGTAGCAGATCTCGCCGTCATAATACTGCAAGGTGTTGACGTTCTAGAGTTCATTTGTCATATAAAAGCGCCATGGTTCGAACGAGTGTTTGGCAAGTGTGGCGCAACTATACGAGCCATATCGGCTACGCACGTTCATGTACCCCAGACCTAGAATTTACGGCTGTTGATACGTTTAATGATATTCATCAACTACATAATAGACTCAGGACTACATGCCTGTTGGATGAAAATCACGCTTTTTGATACAAACCGGTGAAAACCTGTGCTTGAGCAACAGGGATCCGGAAGGCAGCCGTGATTAAATCGCTCCAGTTAAGCGTGTAAAGGCTGCGACTGCGCTATCAACTTGTAAAGAGCTATGCGACTTCCAATTCCATACATCTTCGGCCGCGGACGGCCAATGTCCAGGCCCGGGGAACGATTTTGCCCTGGTGGATCAGGTTGATCCGGTTGCTTAGCAGCCTCGAGTGGGAACCACATTTCTTCATGCTCCAGGACAGGACTGACAAATTCTAAAGAGTCCCCTGTAAAGAGAAATGAGACCTGGTGGCGCAGCTGATCGTAGACCCCTATTCCGTGCCCGGTCCGGCTATTGTCGAGTAGAGGGTGATGAACCGCGGCTTTCTGTCAACCTCTAATTACTCGTCAAAGAAACTGTTGGAAGCCTCGGCGAGAAATGACGGTGTCTCGACGCCGCTCATCCACAGGAACAAATAAGGACCATCCTCTTCATTGGTACCGAGAAATTAATATGATAGATTCGAGAAATAGAACTATCTTAGGATAGAGAGAACTGCGTACATCGCCTTCCTTTTTCTCATTACCCCTCTCGAAGTACTCAAAGTACAAGGGCCAGGAAAACAATTCGTGCAGATCCCCCAGGTCCTTCTGGCTCTTGGCCATCCATGCTTTAGCGGTAAGGTAGTTGTGTAGCCTGACGCATCTTTCTACATCGAGCCTGTTAAAATTTAAGATTGATCTCACATCAGAAGTCAGGGCATCCTCGACTTCGAGAACTCGAGCATCCCCCACTCTTGGCGCATTGGCGTTGGGGGCCAACGGTTTCAAAGATGACCAAGCAGCGCAAGGATGTAACGTAGTCCGAGGCTCCGAGTGGTTCCGAGTCGAGCAGGAAGATTATCAAGCCCCTGAGTGAGTCGAACCTACTCCGTGGAAAAAAACCTGCAGGTTGAGATCAAATAGTCGACGCATGGTGGGAACGAGGTTGCGTGGACATTTGCCCCTTTTGGCATCAAGTCTGGCCATATTGCTAGCCCCCACATCATTTCCGCACATTTGAAAGCCCCATGTCGAAAGGCTCAAGCAAGAATAAGCCTAAGAGTGAACAATTGTCATCAAAAGAAGAATTCTTCTCAGGGTCGTGTATGGGCAAAGATCAGACTCGCAGCCCGGGAGCACTCAAACCAGCTCAAGGAAGCTCTGTTCCGTCTGTCCGTATTCTGAACTGCCCCTTTGGCAGTCCAATCTCCAGTAGTCAGCCTAACCGAGTAAGGGGAGGCGTTCAGACCGTTTTACCGCTTTTGCCGCCGGTGCTGGCATAGCAAAACGGCTATGAGTCGCGTGCAGCTGCCATTATGTGCCCTCAAAGCCAAAGGAGGCGATATTCTTCAGCAGCTAGACTGGTAGTAGCAATTCTTGCATTTCAAGAAGGTGATGAGCTCGCTCTGCTTAGGCGGTTTCATAATCATCCCCCCTCCATAGTATTCACTCACCTTGATCTCGATCTTTAACACGGTGCGGGGCGGCGGTAATCCGGTTAGGCATCATGGTTCGAACATTTTTGTGGCCCCTTTTGTTGCCCATCAGTGCCACCCTAGAGTATGAGATTCAACAGAAATCACGAGAGGGCTGTTCGGTTTTTGGGCGGGTCACTCAATATCACCATATATCTAGCATCGGGAAGACAGTAGGAAGAAAAGGGATTCGGGTTAGGGATGAACAGACAGATTAGTTTGTCTGGAAAATGAGTTCTTTCAAATAACTGGCAGAGATCTCAAGAACCAAAGGGAGCTGAGGACTGCTCCAGCCCTCCGCCTTCTTGAACCTCCGGCCACATTATTCTATCTAAGCCTGTTTCCTATTTAGTAATTAGGAAGTGTATTTATATACTCCGTACATAAACCGGTGGCTAGATTGACTCCCTTTGCCGTTGAGTGAGATATCCCGCCGTAAAACAATACCCATCAACCAATTAACTCAGGAGAGGGCTTTCTATACCGTGTCGTGAGCAACAATATGACTGTACGTGACGAGAATCACAATCTACTAGTCCAAGACTCGTATTATTTGCCTCTGGACATAAGTTTGATTACCCCAGTTTGTCTTTGCCTAACATGACCATGACGGTTCATCACAACACGCGAGCACATGCGAACTTGCGGCGCAAGCCCGAAATAGATACCGGACTACAGGCATAACTTTGTAAAATGAGGCCCCCAAGTGCTACTTCCGGTCTTTCACTAAGCTATCTTTGGTATTGGGAGCGGAGGCGACCAGTGTCACTAGCTGGATTCTATTCGCAGCTACGTTTGAACTAATGGGGCCTGAGTTGGCCGATAATTTTGTGAGATCAGTCAGGCCATCTCTAGGATGTTGGCTCACATAATTCACTCAATCTTGGCTGATAACGTCTCACTATTTCAGAAGTCCCAATTCCACGGAAGTTCCAATTCCAAGGCGGTGGCTCTTGGAATCTATCTTGGCCGATATGGCCTCGGACTGGGGGCTCGGAACAAGACTCCCACTTAAGCAATGCCCCATTTATAAGGCTAAGTAAGAGGCTGAGAAGGATTTGACCCTGGAAGGCTGCCAAGGCACGACACGATCCAAGCGTACGTAAGGTGCCCAGAAAACCAGACTAAGTCGGAACAAGCCCCAATTCCAAGACCGCAGGTGTATCACCGTAGGTCCATGCGTATCCCTCCCCCTTTATTAGGGCGCATCACGACACCTCCGCTTACAAGGGATGTTTCACGACAAGCCTTTTAGGGCAGACTCAGGCGCAAGGCATGCGTAGATCAGTAATCCTCCCGATCATAGAAGTCTGGATCACGACTCGAACTATCATCAGTATCAGTCTGTCAAACCTAACACAAGACGGAAATAGATCCAGTTGATCACGACCAGAGGCACCATCCACGTTGAAATATTATCAATCATAAAACAGGAGCCTAATGCGGCACATGCTCGGTATTAGCCAATGATATTATTCCTTGAAATGCTACCATATATCAAGATGACTTATAGTGACGCATCTCAGTGCCTGCTTCTGGCAGCCGGCCCCTATTAATGGCAACAATTAGTGGGCAGAGCAAGTCTGTATGTAACGGCGGCACGTAAATGGAAACCACCAACATTGTAATACCCAGCTGCCCTCCTAGTCCCAAAGGATGCTACCCCGAAGGATTGGCCCACCAATTCGTCGCGCGCGGCAATTGTGTGGACAGTGGTAGTGACTACCGACATGCTCTTTCATGGGTAATGCCGGACCAAGAGCCTAAATTCTCACCAGGGCCGACTCTCCTCATCAAACGTTGTTCAAAGTCCCAATCCATCAGCGCTCAGGTTCCAGCCAGCTGGTCGGCCGCCTGTGGTGGACAGACCTCGCAGCATTCGACGGCATTGGGGCCAGGGGCAGGTGCGTGGAGGACTTCCACGAAAGGCATGAAGATGCGGGCTGCCAGGGGTGTAGGGTCGTAGACTGCCACGCGTCTCGTCGAGAGACACCCATAATACCAAAATAGGCAGGGCTGGATGGCGAAGCGGATGTCTGTCTGCTCCCCGCATTGACCGGGCATGAATCAGGATCACGCTAGTGGGCTGTACGCCGTTTGAAAATCTCCAGGGCTCAGTCCGTGGCCCATGAGCTCTGTAAGGCCGTCCTGCGAATGGAGAGGGTTGATCAAGCTGTACATCGTGGTGGCTGTGAATTTCTGGAGCTCCAAAAATAGATTGTATCTCTATGGCGTGTAAGTCAAGATATCTATATAACGACTGTTTCTTGTCGTCCAAATCGTTTGTTTTGTTCCAGATCATTCACAACATTTCCTTTTCAGTCATCTAGTCTTTCCTACTGTCTCCTTTTTTCCTTTCAACTCTTTTACTCTTTTTTCTTCTGAGTTATTCTCTATCTTCTATCTTATTTTCCCATTTCTCAATTTCTCATTTGAAATCAGTCAATATGGTTGCAATCAAGCAGGCTTCTTTGCTCTCCACCCTCCCTCTTCTGCTGGCTGTTTCCAGCCAGGTCCTTGCCTCTCAGGAGTCAGAATACCTCGACCTTGTCTCCCGAGACGAAGGCGCTGTCTACGAGCGCGCCTATGACGAGGAGATTTACGAGCGCGATGTCGATGATGAGCTTTACGAGCGCGACTTCGATGACGAGCTTGATGAGCGTGACTTCGATGATGAGCTCGACGAGCGTGATTTCGACGAAGACCTTGACGAGCGTGATTTCGACGATGAGCTCTACGAGCGCGATGAAGACGATCTCTACCTGGAGGTACGAGGCGGTATGCTCTCCAAGCCTAAGAAGGAGAAGCCCAAGATCAGCAAGCCTACCCTCCAGGGCGGCTCCAACCCCGTTGCTATGAAGGACAAGGATCTTAAATCAAGCAACCGTCACTCTGCCACATCGATGGAGGTCCCCATCAAGTTTGTTACCAACAAGCACGGAAAGCGTGCTTATCTGCAAGCCCGAGGCGGCATGCTTTCCAAGCCTAAGAAGGAGAAGCCCAAGATTAGCAAGCCTACCCTCCAGGGCGGCTCCAACCCCGTCGCTATGAAGGACAAGGACCTCAAGTCTAGCAAGAACCGTCACTCTGCCACATCGATGGAGGTTCCCATCAAGTTTGTTACCAACAAGCACGGAAGGCGTGCTTACCTGCAAGCCCGAGGCGGCATGCTTTCCAAGCCTAAGAAGGAGAAGCCCAAGATTAGCAAGCCTACCCTCCAGGGCGGCTCCAACCCCGTCGCTATGAAGGACAAGGACCTCAAGTCTAGCAAGAACCGTCACTCTGCCACATCGATGGAGGTCCCCATCAAGTTTGTTACCAACAAGCGCCACTAAATGTATTAGCTAGGCTTCAGAGATCAATGGCACCAGGCCTGGTTGGGCCAGAGTGATCTGCTTCGCTAAGGATGGGGCTTTGCAGGAGGGGAATGGGAAGGAAGGAGTTTGTCGATCTGACAACATATTGTGCTTCATTTTGCGGGAAACAATGGGAAACGGATAGAATTTATTTGATTTTATTATCATTCTTGAAGTGGGCTGTTCATGGCAGTTCGCTTGCTTGTACTATAAATTAGAAACACACAGATTTCTATCTACTTCATGATCTGATACCACACCGATGCCTCATTCGATGCTCTTGAAGTTTTTGAAAAGCAGAATTGCGCCTAAAGAAGTGTGTGGTGCTCTCGAGTGCGCTTGGGACCTTCAGCTTGTGACGACCAGGTGAAGGCTGTGTGATGTATACGGCTCTCCCAGTTGATGAATAGGGCGCTAGTTCGCTCTGGCTACCATATTATTCGGCCCCTTCAAAATTTGATCAACTTCTGCCCCCATGGGGCTGAGTGCTCCGAGAGCCCCCTCCAGGAAATTTATCCAAGGGAGCATCGATCCATGAACAAGTTGTAGTGTTCAAGGGCATTCCCACCATAAGCAAGACTTGTAATCTAAACTGAGGTCAAGCTCCTACCCCCAGTCAGGTTTTCATTGCTACGTATGGTCCAAATACTAAGCTGGGTATGCTCACTCGCCAGCTCTCGGGTTTGCCTGCGGAGGGTATTGCCCTCTCTTATTCCTCGGTTTAGTCTTATGATAACGAGGTTCGGGACGCCAGAACCATCAACTTCGAGAACTGGGATACACCCCATACGGTTCGCTCCTACGAAGCCTCTGGAAACTTTGATTGCATAGAAACCATGTACATCAAGCTGTCGTACAAGAATAATACGCTCGATATGTATTCTCACATGTCCCAGGACTACGGGAATGGCCTTCGCACGTACCACATAGGATTCGGATTTCTCCCCGGGTTGAACATCCAGCGGGAAAGATACTCATGTTGGCACGGGTATAAATTTATGGTATTTTCTAATACGAATGTCCAGGTAGAAAAATTGCTCACTTGGATATCCCCAGGTTATGGATTGATTCGTTGTTTCTGGCTCTATTTGCAGCGACTACTCTTGTTTTGGCCTCTTGCTTACTTACACCGCATACCTAGAAGCGATTCATCATCGCATACTTGCACATAATCAAAAAGATAACTAGATAATTACAAAATTTCGAGTTTCTTAAATCATCCTTCTGATCCATGTCTCTTGTCAAAAGAGATGCGTCATCTATACTATCTACCTCTGATGAAACCCAGGATTCCCTCAACTTGATGCCGAAGATCCCTCTCTAGCAAACCTCGAGGCCGTGGTCTTACTCTGCGATCATGATCAAGCTTTTCAAATATGTCTAATGTGTACATTTCCCCCCTGGCGTTATCTATTCCGATAGTTAGAAGCAGAGCTGTCCGTGGTAGAATAGCCTGTGACAGTGCCGAACGGAAAAACCCAATTTGATGTAAAACCGGAGTAAATTTCCAGACCTCGTTGCATATAGCCGTCACTTCAGTATAAACGGCTTTCTGATTGGGGAGGTTATTCAGGGAAGTCCACTCGTAGTAGAGGCGCCAAACATAGAGCCGGAAACAAAGGAAATGGATAAGACTTTGCGCGATGAACGCTGAAGCGAAAATATACACCGTCCCAGAGGGTGAATCAGGATCTGCCTTCTCGACCACATTTCTCATGCCCAGCATCAATTGAAAGAGCCCTGAAGAATGTTTTGTTGTTTCCGTACAAATTCTATGGATCTTCTGTGTTAGGAAAGGCACTGTGATACTTTTATCACGGGATTCTTGGAGAAATACAGGGAGACTGGCGCAAGTCCGATGGTACCAGTTTACGGTTGACTCGACGAGAGGTTCCAAGTGCTGTATACCTATACGATTTACCATGCAGGACACAACGGTCTTTGTCCAGAGTGGATCAATCATGATATTGGTCCAACCCGTCATGATATTATATGGAAGCTGGATGTACTGTTAGCAAATTGTCGCCCATAGGGAGGAGAGGACAGAAGCACCACTAACCAACAACCCGTATGTATCGCTGATAATGCTGGCGCCAAACTCATCGCACGGCTCTACTGGCCCAATCCGCGACAAGAGGCTCACCATCCCTCGGATGTGAAGGTCATTTCTCTCACCAGGGTCGGCCAATTCTTCAACTCGATGGAGCAAAACCATGGAGGCGACCGTCTCTATTGTGAAGGCTTTGTCTGTTCGTAGAATGAGACTGAGGCTTCGAAGTGCATGCTGATACATGGCCATACCCATAATGCCAGTCACCACCTTGTTATGTACTTCGGCCGAGACAGTACATAAAAGGGCGGCACAGTGGCAGAGTCCTGGGTGCTCTGCCATCCGTCTGGGAAGAAATTTGAGATAGGAGCTTGGCATAGAAAAAGTCTTGACTTCCGGATTGGCGAGGTTATGAACCAGACGGGCAGAGACACGGTCGGCAAATGAAGAGAGAGGTGCATTTAGTTCAACTGGTAGATTAGATGGGCACGGCTTAGGTTCGCGGCCTGGCCGATTTGCACGTCTAAGCGCCAGCTGGCCTGATCGGGAACTGTGCCACGATAGCCATTGATCCGAGCTGGTTACAATCGGGGTATTCCGCTCTTCATCAGGTAGTTCGTCCAAGGCGGCCCCATCTGAAGAGTGGCCGGGGTTATAAGGAACAAATTTGAACAGACTCGAAGGCCCCGGGCAAGTGAGACCCTTTCTCCGACACGCGCTGCAGGTGGGCCACTTCTCGTCGCACTGGAAAATGTGAGCGAAGAGGCCTGTAAATAGAGGATAGAGGATTCCATACCGTCAGCTTCCGAGTCTTGCAGTGCCTACAGGCGCGTGACCGAGGGACACCGACCATCTCACTGGCTTCCAGAACAACCGCTTGCGGGCAAGGCGTACGAAGACCTGTAAAATATTAGGTGGTTGATGGGTAAAGTAAGGAGGAAATGTGGGAGACATGGGTCACTGGGAGCGAATCCATGCCCGCTTACTCCGGCAGTGCAATTCAGCTGATCTCTACTCCCAAATCGCCTGCTTTTCAGCCCCCTACAAAGATGACCCTGCAGGTTTTCGATCCCCACCTTGCCCTTAAATTGTGGGAAACTGGCGTAAACTCCGAAAGACCTGTCCATATCATTTTGGGACGCCTATGGCGCGCGTCGCGAGCCAGACGCCAGTAAGACATGTGAACGGAGTGGTTTTCCGCGCACCTAAGTCCCCCTTGGTGCTTAATATAGGATCATGATCTTTTTCAAAATGGTTGGAAATGTAGTATAGTCTTGTATCCTAACTGGCGCAGCACTGTTTTACCATGATGTACCAGTTGCAAAGGTGCATTTTGGCCAGCAGATATAGACAACGAGCAATGATGTCTCCGACGACTAGAAAAGTTAACTCAATGGCACTGATGCCTTTGAAACTCATTGTTCTCTATTTTCCATGACGAAGATCTGAGATGGCAATCGCACCACTGATCTCCCTCATTCCCGAGTCTTCATCGCCACCAGTCTTACGAGCAATCGGGTGTATGTTTCATCTATACCTATGAGGTGAGCCATTTAAGGATTGTTAACGAAGCTTGCCTCTCTTTTGTCTTCATCACGCGAAGATAAAGCTTTTTGCTCCGCTGAGTGGTAGGAATTTTGAAAATGATAGGGATTGACTGCGGATGGTCAGCATCACTGTTTGCCTCAGCACATATCGATTCAGCAGAATAGCCACTCTACCGGAACATCTCTCGTTTCCTCACCTGCAAGCCCGGTGAGGGATGCCAGCTCTGATGTGGTCTGAGTTTAGGACCACGTTTGAAGTTAATTACTAGTGGACGTCTCGTTCAAGGCACCCACCCACCAGTCGCTCACTCAGAGGGCCACGTTCATTTACTCAACGCGTAAGCTCTCTCAGTTTATGATGTATGACCTATTTTGGCGGCATTGGAGTAGTTACTTAAGTAATCGGAGTGTTCAGCCAATTGAGAACCATAATCTTGCAAAAAAAAGTTGTTTGCTGCCCTGAGCAAAAGCTTCCGCGCATCTTTCCGCTTCGTGTGTCAATGGAAATGCTTGTATATATATACTGAGAAAGAGAAGTATCGAAGTACATCGAAGATGAACGAAGAAAAATCGATAGTTTACAGGTTAAATTCGTTCAAACCGCCACTGCCCTTAGTGAACATGTGCTCTCCTACGATGTTTTTTAGCACTGCATTTTGACGGCTTTCCAGTATCGTTCCCCCCAGCGATGGGAGTCTGGCTAGAAACCGGAGTCTCAGTGACCGACGTCCCACTAGCGACGGGAGTCTCGCTAGAAACCGGAGCTGTGGTCGCAGGTGTTGGTTGTGTAGTACTGCTTCCAGCGCTGGAACCACCACCAGTCCAGACAGCAGGCTCAGGCATGGGGAAGTCCCTGTCAGTGCCATATACCCCAAAGTTCCAAGAGGCATCTTCAGGCTGGTACGCTCCAGGGAACTGTACCAACGGACCCGGCACTCCAGCGCCATTTCCAGTAACCTCAATCTGGCCGCAAGCATAGAAGAATTCCGCCTCGCCGGCATGGGCACCGTGGAGACCTGATAGTCATTTAGTAACGGAGACCGGAAAGCTTGCGATATTTCTATGAAAGGGTTACAACTTACCAACATGTTCAGCTCGCACCAGGTATTGACCCGCCGGTGTGTCCGTGGGAATTTGAAAGCTGATACGGTCCTTGTCCCATGTGCACCACGCAGTGCTTGTAAGTTCTCCGTCACTGCATAGACCCTCTTGATGGATCTTGAACCAATCCCCGTCGCCGGCATATTCCTTGACATCACCTGGGGCCTTGGACATGTAGACAAATGCCGGTCCTGGGTGCTGCATGGTTGCACCGACGGCGAGCTTCAAAGCAAGCTGTGTACCGGGTGCAACTTGGGCCACATCAGTGGCACTGCCCGACGTAGCGCCAAGGTTGCATCGAAAATCGGTCGACAGAGGAGTCAAGTTGTCAAAGGTGTTTTTGAACTTTGTGGGCATGTACTTGATCTCCCTGGTGTTCTCGCGAACATACTCGATATGCTTGCTCTCAACACCGTCGATGACGAGGACGTCGAAGAAGTAGTGAGCATGAACGGCCGGCGCAGCGCTCGTGAGAAGTGCAACTACCGTGGAGAAGTTGACCCTCATTTTGAAAGCGAGCAACAGAGCTCCACGTTAAAGGAATTATCGGATGAAAAAGATTGGATATTGAATGGAAGCAAGAACGATCTTGAAGTGGTTATCGAACGTGTATTTCATTTTAGAGTTGTTTTATAAACTCTTCCCCCACCGGAGTTTAGTTGCAGGCATTCATGTTTCAGGACAACCCCGTCGGAGCACGACTAACTAGCTTAAGCGAGATTACCTGGTTTGACGATGAGCTGCACCAGTGACCACTTAGGTCTAGACCTCCGATGGCTCTCCATAATCAAGAAATCTTAAATCTTGGATCCAAGGCGTAGAAATTGTTCTTGAAAGCCACTGTTGTTAGTTCCCGAGCCACCAAGTACGTATCCCAAACATGCTTTAAACTTCATTGTAATTCCTTATCTAAATGTAACTACAGTCCTCCCTTCCCCGTCCCTTCTCATCCTGCTGCTGCACCCACGCTCTTCGCAATCTTAGTGATGTACTCCGTATGCATGATCTGCAGGGCGCTTACGATAACAACCGCCATGAAGACATCACCCATGCCGCCCCTCAACGCTCGCCCCTGCCACTCAAACGTGTACAGGTGTGAGTTCTTCTCCATCATCGACCCTCCCTGATAAACCATCCTGACTAGTGGTTCGGCAGCCGCGGTTCCCGCGGGTGCACCGGCAGCCACCAGCTCCCAACCTCTGGGCTGAGGAGCTGCAGCGCTTCCGGCTCCGAGCAGCTTCCCTAGTAAACCCGATGACCCCATTTTGCGCCATTCACATTTCTCAAATCGATTGCCAGGGACGGGGACATCGAGATAGTAGGTCTTGTAATTATTTTCTGGAATGAGGAGGACCTTATGGTCCTCGAACATCAACCAACTCTTCGAGCTGAAAGTGCTCTTCGAATTGGCAGACGCGATGACGGGTTGCTCGGCCGAGCCGGCCGTGACCTCCAGTTTAGCGGATCCTCGAAGCTTGCACGAGTATGCGACAGGGCCAAAGAGCTCTGCGCCGAGCTGGAGGTAGCTCGTGCTGCCCTTCATGAAGTTCCAGATGTGAAACCTGTGAGGGAGGGCTGTGAAGCCTATTTGTGGGCGGTGGAATGGGGTAGGCTGGTATTGTCCGGCACTGCTGGGTGGGGGGCCTGGAGGAGGAGGAGGAGGAACATATCCCAGTTGGTTGTTGGGCGGGCGGTATTGATGTTGGTTCTGGTTCGTATTGTTGGAAGATGAAGACATTGATTGCGGCCTCTGAGGTGCTTGTGACTGCCCATGCTGCCACGGGTTGAGATGCTGGCTTTGGTTTGGAGGAGGTGCCCAGCCGCCGTGATTTACTCCTGTAGGGGCATTCATCATAGCGCCTGGTGGCGGCCCAGGCGGAGGCATATAATTCTCGTAACCATCATAGCTTCGTGGACGAGTACCGTGGAGGTTGTGGCTAGCGTAATCCATTCTAGAGGTTGAAATTGGTAGGTGACGGTCTGGTTGTGGCGCGTCAAGAATTCCGGTTGACTGAATGATAAATCAGAGGCAATTGGATACCGGGGCGCCATCTTTATATAGCGTGTTAGCATCTGTCGATTGATGATCTCATCGCTCGTCGCGCTAAACGTGGCTTGGTCTGACTGCCCCTCCTTGGTGCCATCGACATGTCCCGTTTAGGAAATGCTCACCGATCCCAAGAGGTGAGACCTGCAAATGCTGCAGCATCCCAAAGCGACACTGATTGGCGAAGTGTTTCTCTCTCACGTATTAGCATACAGTAAGGCTTCAAGGCGATGCGCAAATAATTAGAACTTAAATAGGCCTTTCGGCACATATCGACGGTCCAACAACGTCAATTGTCTGCCTAAGAGATGATCATTCTAGACATCTATTGCTTCACAAGGTGTTGAGCAATGATGTGCTTTCACTATGAGTTCTCGGTGCAAGTTTATAACCATTTCTTTCGTTTCAGCTTAGCTGAGAATAATAGTTTATTTATTAACGATAGTTTGGTACTCTGGATGTTCGTGGTGCAGCCTGTCGGAGCGCTTGATTGAGCTGCAGGGTAGGCATTGATTGACAGTATCTTGATGTTGACAGGCAGCCCGGCCAGCCTGCACGTACTGTTTACCCACTGGTTTCAATTCATGATAGCTGCAGTAGCTGTAATTACTACTTTTATAATCGCTTTGCATGATGTGCTGCTGTGGAAGCTGTCTTTTTGGCTTTGGTTGATCGTTTGGTCGTCAACGTCTTCTATATACACATTATAGGGCCTCTATAGTGGTTAGACACGGGATAGGCAAGCCGGAAGATGGCGGTACATTGGCCAACTCTGACTGGGCAAAACAAAAATGCATGATTGCTTTTTCAACGCGGCTTCGCTACTACTAAAATCCGAGTTGAGGGGTACTCTCGTGTTTCATGAAAAAAACAACAACAAAAAACGTCAGCAAAGAAGGTCGAAGAAATCTTGCTGCGTTTGGCCAACCTGCACATCCTGAGAGGTGACAATCACTACCATTATGGAATCAAGAACCCCTGCAGCAGCAGATGAAGCTCGTCAGCGCGGCAACAATCTGTATAAGCAGGGCAAGCTCAGGCGAGGTATGCTGATGACCCGGAATCGGGGTCGTGATACCACCAATTGCTAACCAACGGCCATCAGCTGCAACTGCATATCTGGAAGCTGCCCGCGTTGCCCCTGATGATGCGCGGCCGTTATTCAACTTAGCCGCAGTGTATTATGAGCTCGCCGAGTATACCAAGTGTGCTGATACGTGTAGAGCTGCCTTATTGCTCCTCGAGAAAGATGGCGGTGAAGTACCCGCCGACAAGACCCGGATCCGGCTCTGCAAGGCATTGCTCTTCTCCCAGAAGACAGATGAAGCCAAGGATGTTCTATCCCAAGTCACTTCTGGAGAAGCGCGTAAGATGCTCGAGTTATTGCCGGCGCGGGCCTCCATCAGCCCGCAGCCTCCGTCAAGCCTTCTGGCGACACGCAAGAAGTTGCTTGATCGTGTTCCACGCTATAGAACAGTCCTGTATGTCAACCTGCCCGTGTCTTTGACTTGAGCGATAAAAAAGTCCACCACTCATCCCTTGCTTTTAACCGTATAGGCAAGACGAGCCTGAGTTTTACTGCGTCGGACATGACGATGCGCGTTCATTCTTCACAGAGGCTCAGCTGAAGAATGGCGAAGATCTGGCTTGTCTCTGCTGCGGCATCGGTGACGCCCGACTCCTCTACGCTACGCTGATCATCACTGCCACCTTGGCAGGAATGTCCCCGTCTAGGAAGAAGCTTCACTTCACTCTTGTGGATCTGAAGTCCATTGTATTCGCTCGTGATTTGGTCATCTTCCGTATGCTATTTGATTTTCAGACCCAGACCGAGAAACAAAGGGAGGAGACAACTATAGCGATAGCCTACGTATTTGCAGCGCAGCTCATGCCCTCATGGGCATCTGATATCCTCCACGGGGCGATGGCAGCCGTCATCGCCGAACTGGAAAATCTCTCCAGTAACGTGATGGGTATATTCTATGTCCCAGAGCCTGCTCGGCAAATCATCGCCCGCGTATTGAAGGAGTGGCAGCAACCCCCTGAGCCATGGTATACAACTGCCGCACTCAGGGGTATTCTATCCCGGGAGTCTAAGCTCCGCGATGCAGAGCGGACGTCTATTGTGTTTGGAGATATGGAGCCAACTAATGAAAAGGTTCCTCCCGGATGCGGGAAGCATGATCCCGATACCCGGACCTTCTTTGACATCCATGTCCTACTGCCACCAGCGGATCTTATGCAAAAGTATGACCCCCGCCTGGCTGATATCCACAAAGCGTATGGCAAGAAGCAGACCCGAAAAAATCGCAAGGTTCTCGACGATTATCTCGATTCAAACTGGAAGCCAAACGTCACCGTCATTGATTTGGAATTCCAACGCAAGAGAGAAGATCGAGCGACGGGAGGTCCCAACATTACCTGGTCTCCTCACCAAATTGTTTCGCAGTTATTCCCGAACTTCCAACCCCAAGCTGCCCAATGTCCTCCTGGGGTGCTTTCACACTTTCAAAGCTTCTTCAACATGGTTGGGAAATCTATCCCTCGACTCAAATCTCGTCTCGTGATTGAAGTGGTGCTCGGTGAGATGAATGATGCTCTTGAACGACTACGATATGGCTTGCTTCGACATGATCAGAAACCCGTTGAAAACCTGGACCCGAGCAAGTTCCCCGATAAATTCGACAATATTGACCTAAGCAACGTTCCGTAAGATCCCCAGGACAAGATTTCAATCTTCTTTAGGCGGCGCGAGCTGATATATAGTATTCTAGTGACTATGTTGGCGGTTCCCTTACAACCTTTCTCCACGGTATCCCCCTACTTCGTGAGGAGCGCAAATCTCTGCTCAGGTCTTATGTCTTGCGGAACACTCCCGCCTGGGAGACTCACGGCCAATTCCTTGCAGAATATCTAGTCCTCAGCGACCGCGAGAGAATCGAGTCCCATTTCCGCACCTCCCTCAACCCGAGCTCCAAAATGATAGAGAAGCAGTATGATCAGGTACGAGTTGGCCCCGGCGGCATCGTCATGGTAGTAGGATTCGAATGGCATGGTACTAGCTCTCCGGCATCATTTTTGCCCGCCAAAACGCGCATGACACGACCTGAACTCGAGCACTGGCTCCATTCCCACTTCCTCAAGCTGTGCTTGCCATATCCCCGCGTGCGATTCGACCCCATGGGGGTCCTCGCACCTCTCAACCTGACGGCATTCCTCCACCTGATTGCCCACGTCGCGTCGCTCGGATACCCGCTGCACTGGCTCTCTGCGACACTGGCGGCGCTGTGCGGTGGTATGTTGGCTCGGACTCGCGCGGGACCTCCCGCAGCTTCGATCACGGACGAGAAGTTGGCGGGGGAGACCTACCCGCCCGCCGACGTGTCTGTCGCCCCGTTCGCTGCTGAGTTCCGCACGCTCTTGGCCATGTGGGAGCCTGTTCTTGGGATCCCCTTGGTTTGGGATACTGCCGCGGGAGATGAGCCGTTGCTTCCCGAGCTGACTATGATTCGGCGGTATACTATACGATTCCCAGCAACTATCTGGGACTCATCCTTGATGAATTCCGTCTTTTCTGTGGTCATCAAGCCTCAGTCCTTGAAGGTCCCAAGCAATCATTTGGCGCGCCTATTGGATGATCGCGGAGGTGATCCATCTCCTACCGCACGGGGCGCGAGGAGGGCCCCGCGGATACATTTGATCTCAGCCTGCAAGTGGACATCTAACACGAAGACCATGGAGTTTTGGATGGACGAGAGAACAATTGATGGTCTGTTGGCGGAGAAGGGCTGGGAGGCATGGATCTGGCGCACGGATTCATGGGAGTCTGTATTGGGGCCTCTTTCTTTAGATAAGGGTGCCTTGGTCAAGAACGAGGCATGGTCTTGAACGATGGTAAAGCTTGGTCAATTAAGAAGCTACGGAAAGAATCTACAAAGTAATAATAGTGATATAGCGTATAACTGTGCCCTCTGTTTCTGATAAACTCTCGTAGTGTGGTGGTGTTGCAACCTCCGAAATGCAACCCTAAAACGGTGATCCCTGTGGGTGACCGTGTCGTTGTGAAGTCATGGCTTTTGATTTTCGGGAAAGCAAGGCCCGACCGTTAAAATAAACCTGGTACAGTGGATTAGCATCCATCGAATCCGATATCCAACATTGTAGGCTGGTCTGTTAAAGGGGTACGCCAATTCGACCGATTGTGTGGTCGGCAGCCGTGTCGTGCCAACTCTGGGAGGTTGGCTGATTCGAGCGGGGGCGAAGTGTGACTCTGAGGTAGAGGTACCAAACAGGGACGGCATTTCATTTCCTGCAAACGAGCCCAGCCTGACTGAGATTGTTGCCATATGTGTCTGCTTGTTGACCTTGTCCCGGGGCAGTCAACGAGCCCATTAGAACCGACGACAGGTCGTTCGGATGTATTTTTGCGGGATTTTGATGTCTAGGGAATTGAAATAACTGCATATTATCTTGAGGGGTAGCTCTCACCGCTAGAAGCATTATTGCCCTTATTCCGTGGTGGAGTTGTGTGCGCCGTAAGGCTTCAGCCGTAAACATAATTTACACCTCCTGGCCGGAATATTCATCACACGGATTGATTTCTAGTTGCACAAATTCGCCGTGAATCAGACAGAATCCTAGAGATTCTCTCTTTAGTGACCCCCGACACGGAATACGACGAAGACAACAAGAAACGACTGTAAGATCGGGCTTCGGGCTGGACGTTGCGCCATACATCAATCTTCGCGGGCTACCGAACAGCCTTTCATTTTATCGACAATGCATTGACACTAAGATTATGAAAGCCAAAGCACTTAATACTTCCTAATTTCCATTAAACCTACGTTAAAATCAAAGATAAGACAGGTCAGTCCGCGATCAGACTCAGCATAACGGCATTCGGCTGCTTGTGCATTGTACACCGCACAAATTCACACGCGCGCTGAGCTGGAAAATTACCAACATTACGTCACATTGTGTTACAAAAGAAAAGAACCTGTCATTCGAGGCCACGTGTCCGTCTTGGGCTGATTGAAAAACCTTTCATCTGGGCCTGTCTCGCAGCTCCTCATTTTCTCCAACCTGCTGGTGGCATACGAAACCACGTCCATCTAGGAAGAAACTTAGAGAAGCGCGCCCGACGAAATGGATTCTCCTCTTTTGAGAATGCCGCCGGAGCTGCAAGTCCGGATCTTGTCTAATCTCGTAACAAAAGATTCCAATGACATCTTGCCTATCCTTCGCACCTGCAAGAAACTCTACGAAATTGCACTGCCGCTCTCGGTATCAATATTCCAGGTACACACGCCAAATCAGCCCAACAAGGATGGATTCCCCATGCGAATCCGACTGTTCAAGTTTCTTCGATATATCACTATCGTCAAGCCCGGGCTAGCTAGCCACGTCAGGACACTCGTGTTCGGGAGATGGTTGCTAGACAGATATCAGAAACCTCTTGGATCCCAGGGGCCCACAAGAGAGGAGAAGGATGTGTATGCAAGGCTGATCCGGAATGTTGCTGCCAATTCTTCTAACCGAATCAATGAGCAATACTACACTTCCAGATGGATCTCAGATCTCGCAACAGGCATGGCAGACGCCATCTATGCCTTGTTACTAGTGGTCTGCTCGGGCTTGAAGGAAGTTTGCATCCCAGAGCCCAGAGAAAGAGACAGCATACTTGACGACGGGTTCCTTGAAGTCATCAGCTATTCGCACCTGAAGTATGTTCTTCGACTGGCGACTGAATCGGACCCCTATGTGCAAAGCGAGCCAAGCCAGGCGCCCCCTCTTTCCCTTCTGGAGCATGTTTATCATGAAGGGGTTCGAGGGTATGGATATGACAATTGGCTTGACCACTCTCTGCCTTTCTTGCTGCTGCCTAGGCTGCGCACTTACGAGTGTCTGTATGGCAATATCCTCGAAGAAGGGCATATCTTTCCGCTGTACCTGCAGCCATCATCGTCAGCAGTCAAAGATCTGGTGCTCCGCTCGTCTTGCATCTCCACAAACTCTCTTAAAATGATGCTAGCGGCATCGAAGTCCCTTCGCTCATTTGAATATATGCGAGGGCTGTCCGATAACGAAAGCAGCCATAAAGTGGCCATGCCTCGCGACATCATCGAAGCTATTCAAAGTCATGCCGCGGGCCTGGAACATCTCACTCTTGACCTGAACGAGGACACCTACCGAAGAGCCTGGCTCGGGAAACCGGATAGAATATTCGTGGGGGACAAACTCCAGCAAATGGCGAATTTGAAAAGCCTCGTCATCGGGATGCTGCCACTTACCGGAATCATCGACACCGAACCCAGTCTTTTGGGTCAGCTTCTTGAGCCCGAGGAGATTGACCAAGCGGATAGAAAGGTTGAAGGTACACGACGCTTGGTAGAGTGCCTGCCAGAGAACCTCGAAAAATTGGAAATCCTTTGCTGCGGAATGGGAATTCTCGATGAGGCACAAGAACTATTGGATCTTATCTCTCTGGGGCAGCGTTTCAAGCATCTGAATTGCGTCCGGTTTATCTTTAATGATGAAACTACCACTCCAAGCCTTGTGAATTTGACATGCAGCTCATCCTCGTTACGCCTTGAGACTGCATTTCAGACCAAGCAACACCGAGATTTTGACCTGACCCAATGCTGGAGAGAAGAGAAGAGCCCTTGCTCACGGCTCCATCCACCGATGACTCACTATTATGAGGACTGGCACAAATATCGATACAGTGATAGAATGACCATTGATGAACTTTTCAGCCGCTGATAGACGGTAGCCAAATACCGGGGCACTCGTATCCTGTCACAAAAGGGAAAGCTTGAAGCTACTATGTCAGATCGGGATAAGAAATTAGCTCTATATGCGTGTGATGAGTGAGACGCTTTCTTAGTTTGCAAGAATGGAGCTTGGCACCCTACATACTGGAGGGCCCAAGCTATGAGATTGGAATTTAGGATGTGATGCTGTAGTCCTTGCGTTGGACTTAGTTCAACCTGACGGGGGTTCATACATGTGTGGATGCAAGAATCTTGACCTCTGCAATGTTTTCGATCGAGAGCAAGGACGATGCGATATTTCTAACACTCATTTTTTTCATATGTCACAATTGACTTTGAATTTACGTATTTCATGAACAATCTTTATTTCTTTAGAGGTCAACCTCTGAAGGCACCTGTGACAAACTACCTAGATTCCTCAAGGCCCAGACCTGCGTTGACAAGATGTGTACAGCTTTCAACAAACTGCAATACTTCATCCTTGTCATGCCACGCGTCATTATACGCGGCGCTGAATGACAGCGACCCTCTAAAGGTGCCTAGAAACAAGCCTAGCCCGTTCCTCAGCTCTTCTCCAGTCACCCAAGGGTTATAAACCTCTATATCCCCGTGCTTCTGGCGAATGATGTTGTCAATGCGGCCCATGCTAGAGATGGAAGCAGAGGGAGAGTCACTAGGGGGTGGTATGGGAGGAATCGCGTGCTCGTCCAGAGGCAGTGGGATCGAGCGCCTCGCCCATAACAGCGGCGCAAGACGGTGGTGTTCAGGGTCGTCTCGCACTTTTAGATAGAACTCCCTCATCTGCTGCACGATTTCGAGAAACTCTTGCTTTTCCACTTGTAGGCGTGGTCCTTCAATTAAATCATCATTGCGACTAGGAACGGCCATGTTGATGATCAACTTCTCACTGGAGGTTGAGTGATAGACCGCGGCAGCATGCTCATGGCCATTGAATGGCGGGACACAGCTGCCTCGCTCATTGCGCAGCAGATAACCCACGTACTCGACTGATCGGGGCTTTTCATGCATCGGCTGTAGATTACGAAGAACGAGTGCAATCGCAGCATGGAAGACTTGCGTGACGGTTGACCCAACTTCCTTGCAGGCGCCTGTCAACCTCGCCGTCTGCTCCGGTGACAATGTTATCTCCACTCGCCTGTGAATGCCTGGGGCGAGTGCTCCCTTTTTATAAGGCAAGGCAGCAACTTCTGCATTCCTCGCCTTGTCTGCCGCATCGGCGATATCCAAACTGGCCAAACGATGCAGGGCCGCCTCTGATGGCTCCGGAGGAATGGCGGCCGCGACACGGAATGGCGGGCTCAAGTTTTGGAACACTTTGGGGTCATCGAGAGATGGAGGCTGATACGAGCCCCCCTGTGTGAACGCTTCAGCCGTATGGCGTACATAGTTGTCAAAGAGTAGCAAGGTACCAATGCCATCGATGATGTCGTGAGGGGATCGAAAGACGAGATCGCGGCGTATAACCCGCCTGTCTTCAGCCGATGGGAAAGCCAACGCGTATAGTGTAGGCAGTGCTGGGGCGGGAGGATCATGGTTTGCCCATTCCGCGCCAGAGTGACCTGTCGAGAGGACAACAAAGGTCCTCTCAAGCCACCCAACTGAGTTTTGGGGATAAACTTTCATATATTTCCCTGTTGTGGGATCGAGCTTTGTTTGCGAAGCGATTGTAGGGTGGTGGTAACGCAATGCCAGCCATGCCTTGGCTAGGGCCGAGTCGACACGTTTTTCGATCGTAGAAAGATCTGTATCGCTATCAACAGGAAATTCAAGTGTAAGATGGCCGGTTATATGAAAGAAAGACCGCCCACTCCCTCGCCAATTCCGATGGAGTGACGTATAAGACATCTCTGCCTCATCAAGCTCTCGAACCCATTCCCCATATGCATTATCACGCCACTGGAATCTAATATAATCTGTTGTCATTATAATAAGAAACTTTCGTAATGTGAAGAATAACAATATATGATAGTGGTTGGCTGGCAGGGCTCTGATTGTGGTGTTTTGAGAGAGAGAGATTCGCTTCTGAGGCGGGGGATAGCTCAACATTTATAGGATTCGCCAGTTGGTAGTTTCGATACGAAAGAGGCTCTAATTGGGCTGCTTTCCGGGACGGATTCCCGCCGTCACCATTACTGAGCCCGTATCATCCGTGAAGAACGTCGGAGAAATCAGGAAGAGAGGCGGAGAAATGAGTTGGCTGGATCTTATACCACAAGTCACCTGCTCTATTTTGCGGGGCCTCAGATCGCGGGTGTCCGGAACTGATCCAATGGCTGCGGCCTGGATACTAAAATAGAAGCAAGCCGTGGTTCAACCGCGGGACTGACGATGTTCTGGCTAGACGGCCCGACGATCCAGTTCTTTCTCAACGCCGTTTGATGCAGTTAGATACGGCATGTTCTCCAAGTGTTCCGCATTGCGTCTTCGTCTACTTCAAAGGAACAGGCCACTTTGTCCTCAGCCGTAGTGTCTATTCTATGCGGTACTAATCGACTGATGCAAGCATATTGACGCCCCAGACCGAGGAACATCACAACCCTTAGATATGACGGGGATAGGACCTCGGTAGAAGGTGCTGCATCTTCCCGCGTCCCAACACAGTGCAATGCGGTCTGGGCTGTGTTGGTTAGTTGATCATGGTGAGGCGATATCTCAATCGCAGGGGTTGGGATTGGCTCAAACTGGCAAATAATATTCCCATAATGCATACGTTCTGAAAGAGGAATCCTTACACGGGGCAGCCTACATGCTATAGCCGCCCTCCATTTCTAATGATATCTTTATCACGACACCAATGCACAAAATCAACGCCGTTATCATTTAAAATTGCAGCAAACAGAGGAATGAAACGTACCACTAGTAGCGCAATATCAGGCGCTACAGATAGCATAAATATAAATTGATCCCTCATGCCGACGTCTTCAACATCTTGTCCAGGCTTGTGGGTAAAATGATTACACCCTATGCCATAGGAGTTTATATCACGAGCCGTTGCTTACTCCCATGCAATAAAACACACAAACGTTGTTTGATTGTCTACTGAGACCCGCCCGAATTCTTGTGACAACATATTGGTGGGAAGTAGCTACCTCTCGAAGGATCTATTTGAGCTTATCAGGAGAAGATTGATGCTGACGATGGGACAGATTGTGATACATAGTCTTCGAAGCTAGTATATCATTGACGCACCACATTTGACAAAGTCTAAAACGAAGGAACATAAAAAGAAGAATCAGCAGATCATGAGACAGCCTGTGCGCCACTCGTATTGATTGGGCCGCATCGTATCGGCACGCGTGTACGGAAATGGCATAGCAATGGCATGAGTCTCTGCTTTGATTCTGAACTCTGACTGAGTCTCGTCAATCATCCCACTGCATCCTAGCTTTCTTTTGCGTCATAAGGCATTGTAAAGAGGACGTAGCCAAGTACTCAAGGCAGAATCTGACATTCGTGCGCAGCTGAAACTCTACCGGCAGTCCGAAAAGACTTCGTTGCTAGGGGGGACGTGTTGTCTTAACATATTGGTCAAGATTTCTTACTTCGACAAGGATATGTTTCGCTAGCAGTATTCAGATGTTGCAAATCGTTGATATCTGTATTTTAGTCAAGATAAAAACCACCGTACAGGGTAAATAAGTGGGAGCTGAGAATCGGTAGAGCTCGACAGCGGCGGTAAGTATTCTTTAGCAACACTTGCGTATAGCACATCACCTTATTACAACAGCCAATTAGGAAGTGAGTATCTCCTGAGTCTACGCTTTAATTTATGAAGCTTGGCAACCTCCGACGTTAGCTGTGGAGCACATTCAAAGATTAGCAGCAAGCGAGACTCCCTGGCTCTGTCGAGAGGTGCCTATGAGACCAATAAGATGAGATCTTGCGCCCAGGACAGTCTCCGTTGAATCCGTCAAGGCTTGAAATCATGGTCAATATCCCCGAAACGCTGATCTCGATTTGGTAAATGTGGCAAACAGGAATGTCAATGTCGATTTTGTGTCCAGGGTTGAAGAGAAAACCAGCGACAAGTATGGAGAAAGATTTATAGAAACCTACTTGGACGTCAGGTTCCGGAACCGCCTATACAAACAGTAAAACTACACTTGAAGATCTTAGTCCAAAAGAACAAGCCAATTCGCAAGCAAGCTCATAGTCACATGACTCAGCTTTTGGATGTGTCAAGTCGGAATAGGAGGCCCTATTATTGAGGCTTCCACGGGGACACCTGCAAGAGTGTTACTAGCTAGGAAAACACGTAAGCTGAAGTCCATTTTGAAGCCGCGAAAGTAGACGTATCGTAAATTGAAGCTGGCGAGGGCCTTGGGGATTGAGATACGACAACCACACGTGGCTCTCACACGTGGAGGACGGACTACATCGGGCTGGGGCTGGTAATGTTCGGTTCGTTTCCGTTTGCCCGCCCAGTCGAAGCCGGTGGGCCTAGGAAGGGGAGTTGCCGGCCGGACTCTACGCGAGTTGTGCCCCTTTAGCTCCGAGTCTGGCCGCCACAATGTGACCCCCACGCCATGGAATTTGGAATATCTGGCCGTCCCCATGCTTTGTCCCCGCACTGGTGCTCATCGTTTGTTCGCTTGTGCAATGCTAATTCAAAGTGGAAACTTTTTAGCGATTCTCAGCCTCAAAATACCATGTAGCTGGCGGTTTAGTTTAAGTCTGCTCTGCGTATGGACTGGGATGGACGGAGTGGCCCTAGATTACAGGACCATGGGAGAAAACCAACTTTGCCAACTGTGCACAATAGTAGCCTTGTGAGGCGCGGAAGCGGCTTGCGACGGGATTGTAGTCTCCACTCAGACCTGGGCTAGACAAAGTCATCGACATGAACACAATAACGGTGTCCTACTGGAGAGGAGACTGGCGACGGTTAATTGTAGCCTTGAACGCATGTATTAGAAGTATGAACTCGATTTGACTAGTAATCCCGATCACATTTTCATGCCTTGTGAAACCATCTCTGCAGCGTTGAGATACTGTGAAGGTGTGATAGAATAAAAGGTCATAGTAGTTGCCGGTATCAACAGCAACGGTCTTAACAGTGAGATTTAATCCACAGGCGGCATGAGTTGTCAACAGTAGAGTGAACAACGCCCTGGGATGGAGGAAAATTCGAATATCACAAGCCTAGGGGTTGATTCTGCCGACAGGGGAGAACTGGTTGAGAAAAACATCAGGTTGACTCATGAATAGAGGTTTGTTGACTTGAGTAGAGAAAGACGAAGAGACCCTTTCCCCTTTCATGATGTATTGCTTACATTGCCCCGAGGCACCCAGTAGGGAGTTTTCAGTAGGAGGACCCCTCCAGGGAGATTTCTTGCTGGTCGGAAAGGGGTGCCCGCCCACCACGTTCCAGTCTTTTGAACACGATGTTGAAAGTGGTGTGACGGGCCGAATCATGGACGACAAAATGTCTTCTCCCTCCGCATTAAAACCCCCATATCATTCTCTAGGGCGTCAGGGTCCCCAGATACATTCCCCCCTGACATGCAAAATGCGTAAGACTTATTTCCCCACCTACTTCCGTGACTCAGAGAAGTCATGTCCGTGGGGGTTCAGTATGTGGAGAGTTCATCTCCTTCCCCATAGTCGTGGGGGTCACAAAGACGAGGGGAAATTGTCTTCTGTTAAGTCTGGAAGCCAAAGTTGGAGAGTTTTCAAGCCATCTGATTACCCCAAATGAGCCACACGATGCGTTTCGTGGGGGTCAGATTCCAAAAATCTCTATTCTTCCACCAATTCAATACATCGCCGGAGGTTATCTAATAGTACTTAATTCATTAGCATGGAGGGATTAAACTATTGATTGGCTACTAGTATCGACACTAATAACTGAACGTATCTTCTCCTCTGCCCATTTATTTTTAAGTTGCATGACGATGTGGAAAGTTGATCAAATCGACAGCCGCAGGCTAGATTGAACCGATGCCTCGGGAATCCGATACCCGACTCTCTACAGAGCGTAGGGGTATAGGTAGGTCCGCTCGCGATGGTGTATCTTGTTCACAAGAGTGTCCTCTCTCGAGAACATAGGAGAACCTTATTCATCACCACGGTATCTGGCTCTTTGACGAAAGTTCCTGTTAGTCCGAAATGGCTGCCTTGCCTTGAATTGTATTTCTATTCTCTGTAGTATCAAGAGTCTTGGACCCCGTAACGAGCGTGGTTCACACCCTGATAATCCAGAATACGCGAGATAGGTTGATGAGTACAACTTTAGTCCGTTTGGCATTATTAATATTCCGGCTAGAAAACCAACGGTTTGCACCATGGGGGCTCTTCATTCGTAGAGGTCGCTTACTGTTGGATTTGAGGTCCTTTGTAAGCCTGACTGTAGCCCAATACGCGTTTGAGTATCTGCCGGATGATTCCGCTACCTTCAACACGCGGTATCAAGATATTACCCTTGCCAGCTGTCATTATAGGCTTGCTGAACATCTGCACCTCATCACTTGGTATGAACCCATTCTAATGTGAGTAGGTCCAACTGCGGATGGTTCCGGGGTGCCCCGCCACGGGCCTCAGGGTTGAGGTGACCCCCACGCCGGTTATAACTCATGACACTGTTCTGACACTAACATTGGCTCCACTGGCTCCATGAGGACTTCCTTGTCTCCTATGATCATGGGTGCCTGATACTGGTGTTTCCAGGGTATACGTAAGGTACCACTTGGACTACCACCTAGTTACAACTTGGCAGTGGTCTCTTGGGGCCGACTACGGAGGTGTTGCACGTCGATGCAGCACAATGTCAGAAACTTCCATGTAATCTTCAGAGTCGCCAATCTTGGATGAAAAATGAACAATTCTCTTAATGGCATCTATCTCTA